CAGTTGTGTCTGCTGAATACGTAAGCATAAGAAAACTGATTGGTCTATTTCCTTATGCACATGCGTATGGACCAATCAATTTTCTTATGCTTCCGCGTTATACGTTATGCAGAAGTGTGTGCTCCCCGCTAATAAGGCTAGATGGATTTGGTGTCGTCAAAATCGTCAATTTATTCGATCTGGGTATCAGGAAAGCATGTTGGGCAAGGAGGTTACTTGGAGGTATTTTACCAAGCTCACCAACTCACTCGCGAAGTTACCGTCACGTCAATTCGGTATCGACTTCCAGTTGTCGATGACAGATGGCGCCAGGCGCGCCCGCGCGCTTCGAATACCTCCGTGAACCTCCTCGCTGTCGTGCGCTCCTGTTACTTGTGGAGGATTTTTCGGATATTTCCGACCACGTAAAACCCAATTCTCGCGCTAATCTTATCCGGATAAATTCTGCTAAACAACTTTTACGATTTTTCGAATATGTCTGTATGGATGCATAATCAAAATCCCGCTGTCGTTAATTATCATAATAGATTTAAAGTATTCTATTTGTTTAATTATTAATAAGTATATTTATTACATTCGTTGAGATAATTCGCGCGTAGGTAAGATTAGGTAACGAATTTCGCATGCTAAAGATATAAGATGATATCGAATAATCGAATGGATATCACTTGTAATGCATTTGTTCTCTTCGTAGAAGCAAGATATACATACCAAATTATTTCATTTTATTCATATTACTTTGTAAATAAATTGATGGTTACAAAATAAATAAGGCACGTATTGTTCAAGAAGATATCTCTCGAGTAGGTATCATATAGCCTTTCACATTGGTACACAAAAGGTATAGCATTAAAGCTGGTCTATCTTCAGTAATATTTATTTTCGGAAAAGTTAAGTATAAAAATAAAAGCTTGAAATTTAGTCTATGAAAATTTGTTAAATAATAATTACCTAATTAACGTTAACTTAGGTAATTAACATTAACATTGGTTTAACAATTGAACAAAAATAATTTTATTCCTTTCAGCAAATCTACTTTTTTAATACAAGCTCGTTGACAGGAATATCTTCTAAATTACTGTTGTTTATCTCAAGTAAAATGAACGCACGCAACACTACTTATGTAAAAATGGAATTGTCGCAGAGGTTCCAAAAAGAATAGTCATCAAATCTATTTTATCTTTTTTAATTTATTGAAAATAAACGTGTCGCATAACTTAGATTAAAAGTTCTTAGATAATAATCCATCGTTTTTCGTCAATCTCACGATGCAATCGTCGGATTCTCCCTGCGAACATAAAAGTAAAGCGACATTTCATCAGGTTTTGATGCCGATACTAATTTATATCAATATTGCAATACTGACAATATTATAATTCATTGCAGAATTATTATATCAATCAAATAACAGTATAAATCAAATAACAGTATAATAATTTTGTATTTAGGAAGATACCAACGAATAAGCTACATAAATCTATATGTATACAAGTAACTTAAATGTACCATTCGACGAATTGCTCCACAGATTGCGTACATCTTGTGGGTATCGGTCATGCGTCCCGTTTCTGGATCGACATCGGCCAGGCTCAGCTGTATAGACGCGTGATCCTTGGCGTGGATGATACGGTTACTCGCCGAGCTGCGACAGAGAAAAACCAGAAGTTTAAAGTGGATATTGGAGTCCATTCTTTTCAGCGATACGCTTCGCACGCGCATGTTCTTGCAATTTCCCTGTTATGTCCATTTCTATCGACGCAGGTTAATTTTGATCTTGGTTTAACTTACCTGTCATCTTTTCCTAGTTCTCTAGGAAGTTAAACCGAGATTAGAAGTTAATCTACATTGGTAGAAATGAGCATTAGTCTGAGTATATACATAGTTATGTTTCGCTTCAGATGTGGAGATCACGAGGATGGAACAGTCGAAGAAAAACAGAGACTCTTCGCCGGTGGATTCATATGGAGTACAGTCAAGTACAGTCACCTGACCTAACCTCACTTCTCTAAACGCTGCGTGTCTATCGCACACACACCGCGGTCGGTGTTCAAACCTTATCGAATAAAAAAAATCGCGCGCGAATTTTGGTAAAACGTCTCAATGCGAGATTCTCGTTCGCGTTCAGTGTAAAGTTTACGAGATATATCCGTGACGCCACGTGTGTTTGCGTCTCACCATTTTCGGGGGATGTACAAGTCGACCAGATTTCCCAAATCGTTCTCCATTTTTCTTCACAGCTGCAACAACACCGTAAAACAGAGGATTAGCGGTACTGTTCGAGCGAGCGTAATACGCGTTGATTATTTAGCAAGTAGTTCGTCGCTTACAATCGGCACGTTGATAGCTCGAGATGGCTGCGGAACGGAAAGAACGGAGGAGGCTGCGCCTGCGCCGTGGAAACCGTAGATTTGTTCCTCGTTAGCTGCACTACGTTGCACTTTCTGTACTTGAAAGGAGATAAACATAAAAAATGGGACATTGAAGAGAGAAAAAGATTCATAAAGTTAATTTTGCATGCGAAAATGTCGTTCGAGCTCACCACATGTAACTTATTAAATATCTACACCCGCACTTAAGTATTGCGACAAGAAGAACGTTCAAAGGCGGTTTTTTGACCAACTTAAACTCCGATTATAATTCAACACGGACTTATTTAAAGAAAATTTCTAGTCATGTAATTCGTTAATTGTTTCTAATCTTTATTTCCGTATGTCGAGCAAAAAAAAGATACAATAATTATGTTGACAAAAAATATAATATATAATTCTATCTGTTAACAAAATTGTAATAAAATTCTATCTATGTTAAAATACACGTAGATATTTCTTAAGGCAATCGCTAATCAAGCTAATTAGAGTTTAGTCAAAATTAATCATTTATAATTGCTGTTAAAAAAGTATCTTTCTTGGCTAATTTTGCATTTGTATTGATAAAATGTCACTTGCGAGCCGAATCTTCGGTAGAAATAACATACAAAATAACGTTCCAAATTGTTGATTTTGTGAATCATGATGATATAAACATTATAATAGGATCAGGATAGCACATTTTTACAAGTATTTATTTAATTGATTACTATGAAACTTTTTTACAAATATTTATTGCTATAAAATGTACATCGCAATTGCATTTGGAAAACAATTCATGAATTCCACAGCTCTGAGATAAAATATTATACATATAAACCTGTTTCGCAATTCTGAAAGTTATAAAATCAATTATCTAACCGCGTTTTGTTATAAATCCATAAGATTTGAAAATCGACACATATGTACATATATGCACATGTATTATTGGTCTAAAAATTTTTCGCCCAAAATTTCGACGCCGCGCATGCGCGAGGATGCGCGGAGCGCGGAGAGTACGGAGACCGTCCGATGTCCGATGCACTTCCCGTTCTGTCGCGGTCCCCCTTCCCGCCCACTCCCCCGATCCCACGCGTCACGTCGACGTCAGTTCGTCGACGCCGCGCGCTCCGTGCTCCGTGTATTCGCGATTACGCTCGTACTATGTCTACGCCGTCTACGGGCGATTCGTTGGCCGGCCGACGACGCCGGGCCGTCGCGCGCGTACGGGCGGAAGAACAAGAACACTCCGGCGAGAGCGGTGCTTCAAAGCGAGCCGCGTCAGAGGCTGGCGTTCAGTAGCGGGGCGCGCTTCGCGCTGGACGGACGGCGGTGGTGTGTGCCAACTCCTCGCTCGACGCGGCCAGGACGTGCGATGCGCTGCGGGACTCTCGGGAGAACCGATGAACCGAACCAGTGATTGATCGGCATATACGCACGACAGCGGTTCAACATGTCCATGAAGGTGAGTGTGACTAGTGTGAGGTGAGCGGAGAAGCACCGAGAGGATTCGGAATATTCGGATATCTCCCCTCCCCTCCCCCGCAGGGGATGTTTCATGTTTCTCTCCCCGGACATCTGGACGCTGTTCTTCTGTTCCTCGCGATGCGAAAAGGTTTGGAAGGATACTTGCGTCTGCATTTTTTGTCTGGTAGTATACGTTAGTTAGATAATTATGTAGTTAGAGGAGAAATTAACATGCCCTTCGCCACCCTCTCGTATATTGTATGAAATTAAGAGCAGCCTCTTTTCAGCTGGACCTGATTGATAGGACCCTCAGGTACGATCTGAGTTTGATTGTGAGACGTTCATCCCCTCGGCGATTTACGTGTGAAACGAACGATAATTTGTTGCTTAATTTGTTCCCGATTTTGGATTAGACTCGACAGCATTCGACGGTGGATGGAATTAAACCTTTGCGGTCCTACGTTGGATTCGGTACAATGCGTTGCAATAACAAACAAATCTTCAAATCGTGCATTTTTCATATTACGCATATAATTCTTCGAATTTGTAATCGGTAAATTATATTTTTAGGATCTCTACGAATTCCTTCAAGTAATAAAGATTCTTGAGACTTATTCATTATACGAGTGCCACCTCTAAATTAAATATATATGTATACATAATAGAGTAAATTCAATTACCATTACTTCAAAAAATAGTGTAAATAGGTTAATAATCGCCGTACTTAGAGTTTCAAGTAGAAAAAAAAAATTGGAAATGGCGCCCGTATAATGAATAAGTAATCCAGATTCTTTAATTCATTCGGACTAGCCGATTAGATGAACCTAAGGATGAAATACTTGATTTGCTCATCTGACTCGTTTCGCTCATCCAAAGAAAATAATTTGGACTGCAAAGAACTAACGTTACCGCACCGAGGCTTCCTCGCGTGGTTCATTTATTTGCGGATGCTCTATCGTTTATCGTTGCTGCGCTTTTATCTTCGATGAGTCGATTGTTTTCTCTTCCGGGAGAGAGAGAAAACATCGCTGTTATCGCGATCGGCCCTTGATACTTTTTATTCAATTGTTATCCTTCGCGTTGCGCGACATCGAGGGTGATGTGTGATTCATGGCATCGGGCGAGCGAAAAACTCGAGGTACAACGTCGAGTATTAAAAGCGCGACAAGAAACATACGTCTTATCTCTCGTTTTAGCGCGCGTTATTTCTGGTTCGCGACGATGAATGGGTGCACCTGCGCGCGAGCGCGATTAAAAACGAAAGTCGGAGTTTGTCACGGCCGAGGCGCCGCTCGATCGCGCCTGCCGACCCGGATATTTCCGTAGAAAACTGACCGCGAGGATATAACGGCCGATTATCCGATGTTTTCAGCAAGATCGAGACGGAATGAACGGCACGAGCGCGGCACTTTAATCCGCTGGCAATTGTTATCGCGTAATTGTCATAGTTGCAACGTATGTACTTGAGTTTACAGACCGCGGATAGACATTATCAACGCAATATTGTTCGTGACACGCGTTGCATAATATCGAGCGGTGTGTAGAGTCGGCTTTAAAGCCGGTCACATCGCCGGCGCGACGTCGGCGCTTAATAGCTTGTTCATCATAATTTCCCTATCTGCGTTACGTAAGATTTACATCAGACCTCTCGAATTAGGCTTGTTAACAACACGATAAATCCGCGACAATCGCTGGAATTTGAAAGATTTAACGCATTACAGACTCTTGCTATAATATACTTTTCGACATTTAAAATCTAACAAATTAACGATTTACACATGCACATAATTTTTATGTTACATTTAAGCGATAAGTATGCGCAGGAAAGGTTTCTATTTATAATTTAAGATTTTCATAGATTTGAAGAACATTTGAATATGTACAAAGTATAAATTCTATTCTGACATCTGACGCGAACTAAGATTATTTAAATTTAAAGCGACCTTTAAATTCAAGAAATACATTACAGATAATGCTTCGAGTCAGATTCTAAAATAAGTTTTGAAGATAATTACGACAACACTATTTAAAATTTCGTTATGAGAACATCATAACAAATTAAACACGAATATGTATGACAGGGGAAAAGTATCGCGTATGCCGTTGCCGAGAATCATGCCGTTGCCGGCGTATACGTTGTTTTGATATTTTAATTAAAGCTTTAATCGTCGGCCGCGTGCGCTAATTACGGTCGAGACTGCGGAGAAAAGTATAGCAGCTCCGCGAAGTGCCGCCGAGGACACGTGCTCGCGACGCAGAGACACGAAATTTTACGTGAAATTGTTAGGCGTAGAATACAGCACGTGTATACGTATCAATTTGAATCTCAAATCTAATTATGAATTTATAACGAAACGTGAGATAATTTATTTAATAACTTTCTTATTATGAATTTATGATAACATGTGAAATGTAACTTATTTAATATCTTATTTAATAGCAGTTGTGGAACAAGTTATTTCATTTATCTCAAAGTTGATGTGCTTTGAATGTAATTGCGATGTTTTATATATAAATTACACGTACGCACGATTAGAATAAATCGTCGATTCATTGAGTACTTGAAAAAGATTTGCTTGAATATGGAACGGCTGACAGTTTAATGTGTGCTGTGAAATTGTATCGTGCAATGTAAGAGGATGAAAAGATTTCGCGTAGATATGATAATAATCAATCTTGAATATTTTAGTATCATGATTAATTTAATCTTATAATTTTGAGGTTTCATAATTAAAAAATTATCTTCCAAGTTTTACAATTATATTTAATAATTAATTTTTAACATAAAAATTACAATGTAAAAAAAAATTATAAATTTACCGTTTCTTTTTCTTTATTAGACTTCGTACTTAACTCTGTTATATTTGCAAATGATTTATGACTTTATGACAAAGAATAATATTAGTTTCTACAAGACGTGCTTGTACCTTTCGCTGCCTGCTTCTTCGTTTGAAAAAATTATTCGTTTGAGAAAATTAATTGCGGCATTATAATTATGGAAAATGTATCATAATATCACGATTTCCGTGATACGAGACGATTTGTTTCTCGTGTTCCACATATCCGAAGGAATCTTGCCTCGCTGCTGAACGGTATCGCCGCAAAATCTCGTAATAAGGTTTTTCCGCGCCATTGAACGTACAATCCGACGCGTTCTGCAACTTTACGTTTGCGATCCGTGATGCGCATCGGTAAACTACGGGCTAACGGGTACAAAGCTACAAATATCGGGTCTACAAGCTCGTCTTCCCCGCCCGTCCGTGGAATTCCACGAAATATTTCGGAGCGCGAGTTCCGTTAAGACATAAATCCGCGGGAGCGACCCGCCACAGGCATTTACTCCTCGAGAAATCACGCGGGATATGTTTTCTCTCTCCGAGAACGTGTTTGCACCATTCGCGAGACGAATCACTCTATAAACACTCGAAAACGAAGGTCGACGTATTATTTCGATCGTCATTGCGGCGAAGGACCGCGAAGAGATACTCACGCTGGAAAAGCGTTTGCGCTGTGTTTGCGTTCACCGTTAGAAGTCGTAAACGCGGGGAATAAAGGATCCACGATTCTGAGAGATATCGATCTCAATGACAACCCACGAGCATATCTTTGAGATTATGAAGGCGCTAAAAATATTTTACGAGCCTTTAGACGGTTCCAACGATCTGACAAGCTCTCCTTCATATTTACCGTTTTTATATTCTATCACGTATCCAATGCACGGTTTATATATTCGGACCTCTGATGTAGGAATGTATTTTCATTATTTGGATGTGGAAAAGACTTGGATATGTACGATAATGTCCTTTTGTAAACTATGATTGAAAACAATTTGTTCCATGTTACTAAATTGACGATATTAATCTCGAAATTAATTGATGTTAACTGGATTGATAAAAACATAAAAAGTCATGCGATTAAAATTCTGTAGGAATTAAAGAAATTGAGATTATTCCAAATGGGATCGAATTTATAAAGTTTTCCTATAGTTTCGAAATTGAATCTTCTTGGCTTTTTATATTAATTAATTCAGAATTAATTTCAGATTTTTTTGCATTAACTATTAATATAACTCTGTCATTTATTAATATATATAACTTTTTTAATTAATTAATCTTATATATTTTCTAAATTCAAAGAAAGTTGATTTCTTTTCTCAATTTTATATTATTACAATGTTAATGGTTTCGATACAATCTCGAGGCATAAACTTTTAGACACTTTCTGCATTCGCGTTGCTCCGATTGCAACCGTCTTACGTAAACTAGAAAATGAGAATTTAATTAGCGTTTTATTAATCCGTCACCTTTGACTCTTACTTTTTCAGAAAGAATCGCCTTGGGACGTGGAGCTGCATTTGTCGGCGGCACGCGGGGACGCCAAACGTCTTCGTATTTTATTGGATTCCGGACGCGTCCACGTTGATTGCAAGGACAAGGTCAGTGCCGTGTAACACACCCTCAGTTTCGCGATACGATCACTTCTCATTGTCAGAAATGGAACGTCAATTTTCCAGAGCGAGAATGTGGAATTTGGAGTGAAAAGGAAGTTGGAAGATAATATTATATAGTATGTGTCTTCTTGCGAACGCGATCTAGTTGGGCCCAGTCGGTTTTATCAGCTCAAAATCAGTTCATCAGCTCAACACAATACGATCACCTGAGATTGCTGCCGGAAATCGATTACGCTGAGGAACTCTCGCGTTCCTGATTGCAATGGTCTCGTGATAGATCGGCGATATCGCGGCAAAAGCGCGATTTTCTCTCCTCGCTGTCGGCCGACTCATTATGCAAATGACAATGAGGAGCGAGCAGCGCGCGAGTAACGTTGCACACTCCTCTCGGCGTCTCGAAAGTGGTTTATTAGATCAGCGCGGACACTAATCGTGCCACTTTTTGGCCTGGAGACCGAACGCGGAACGTCGTATTTTTTGCGAGCTCATCCACGTGGAATTGTGTCAGTATCAGAGCCGAATCGAATCGCCATATGTCTGTTTAGTCATCGAGCGTTGATGGTACTTCCTGCCATTCGCGATTCTTTTCTGTCCATTCGAAACACCGAACACTATTTTGCAAAACTTTGCGTTGTAGTCGATTGTTTTACATACATACTGACATTAGGAAACATCTTTTTATGTGCAAATTGTTGCTTTTTGACGAGACATCGCGGATACATATATCGACATGAATGTATACGTGTGCTAATTGCTTTAGCGGACTTAGGACGCGAATCTTAATAGCTCGCGAGAAGATCGATTAGAAAATATACACCGGCATACATTCACCGGTATGCGTTCACCGGGCGGGAAAGTTTCGCGTCTATAATTGAATCGTCGGAGCGGAGTGCTTTGCTAACGGGGTCGGTTTTCTTTCAGGATGGCACGACACCTTTGATATTAGCCGCCGCCGGTGGCCACATCGACGCCGTGACTGAGCTGTTGCACCAAGGGGCGGACCCCAATGCCAAGAGGCTGGTATGTTCCGACCTTATGTCAAAGATTGAGCGATCTATGAATGAATGAGACCCGCCTTAATCGTATTAGTAGACGACACGTGCGCGCTCCCGTTCATTAAATACCCAAAAATTCATAGTACATCTATCAATTTTAGCGTATTACAGGACGATAAATAAGAGGGTAGCCTCTGGTCTTATTTATATTTATTGAAGAGAAATATTGCTTCTGCAAAAGATTATTATTAATTTTTCAAGTTGCTCGAAAGTTGAGTATAAACGAGAATATTATCAGACGATTTATCTGTGTTGTACAGTTTATCTTTTACTAACAACAAGATTGTGACAGATAGTCATTGAGATAAGTGATATTTTGAGAATTTTGTTACTTTGTGTACGCGAACTTATCTACGAAAATACCATCGAGTGCCGTCGAGTAATGTAGCGTGTAACTCAGAGTACTCTAATCGTCGCAAAGTATCGTTTATGATCATAATCACCGCCGTAAAACAGTTATATGTAATGACGTACGAATAGTACGACAATTTATATACTTATCGTTATTTTTTCCTATATATGTTGTGTTTTTACGTTTAATCTTTATAAAGAAGATAGAAGGATGTTTCATAACATGTCTTCAGAATCGTATTTCATTTATTTTCGTACAGACATTAACATTGATAATCGTGATAAAACCGGTATCGAATATCGCAGTCATGAGACCATCTGCAATTCAATCACCGCTGTAAAACGGTTCTCAAGTATTTAATTACGTTTGATTAAAGGATCGAACAGAGTATGCGAAATGTCATAATAATCACTTTGTAGTAATTGCTTCAAGGAGTTCTTCGACCGATGTCGAAATGGTTTTCTCGCAATAAAAATCACGTATCGTTTCCATGATTTTTAAAATATTTTATGTTAAATATTCTAATATAAATTTTTACAACATTGATATTTATTAATTTAGAATTTTATAACTAAATAAAATTCCTATTTGCGTTCTAAAAACTTAATTTGTGAAAAGTGCTATCCGTTTTAAGCCGTTTATATTTATAACTCAAACATTATGTTTTGTGACAGTTAAAAAAAGTAAGATTTTTAATTCAGCAAAGATTTCATAAAGAAATTCCGACTTGAGAACCTTGTTGAAGATCCTATCTTTAGATACCACTCGTTCCGAGTATCGTGGCATCAAAATAGAATTTTTGAAACTTCCTGGAGCATCGTCTTGTGACGCGTTGTATCACTTTTAAGCGCACGCGGGTCTCAGCGAGACATAAAAGCCCGTCACGCGGTGCACCAGGAAGCTGTCGAGTATCCGTTTTTTAAGTGCCTCAAGAGGATTTATCGTCAGACCCGCACGCTTCTTTTTTTCTCCCTCGGTGTCTCGGTGCCATCTAGAATTATGGCATTGTATGCAAATCTCGATGACAGGGTTGCCCGAGTTGGACGGACCGACGTTACTGCATATCTCGAAAAATGAAAGAACAAAAAAGTTTGAGGGAGAGCAAGTCTCTTTCACGACAAAAATCTGATTTAATTTTTAAGTCTTAATCTTTTAGTAATATTTTTAATTTGAGAGATTATTTCTCACATCACAGAAAGTCTGACCTACACGGAAAAAAAAAGTACTCAATGTACAGAGCATTTTCAGAAATCACGGATTTTGATTCTTTTAATCGTACTTTTTATATAATATAAAAATTGAAAATATTAAATATTGTTTTTTAAAGATACAGTGATTGACAAAATATGTTTCAAACGATATAATCACTATTAGAAACGCGCACGAGAGAGACAGAATATTACATGATGAGTAAATGTGCTCGGAAATAGGAATGTGTAACGTTCGAGTTGATCATACGGTCTGCGCTCTTACTACCGAGATGCGTAAACGATGACGACGTCGCCGTTCAGCCCAGAATTACGCAAACGTTCATTAAAAACCCGTTAAGCGCGTTCGTCGTCTTACGCAATCGGCGGATCGAGAATCCAAAGAACATTTTCATGGACTGGAAAACGCGATCCTCTTTAAATTAATACCCCGAGATCCCGAAACCGTTACTTAAAGAGGTAATTGTATCTCATTTCGATTTCCATATCAATTTATCGGTATACGCGTAGCAATCGGCTAATAAATTTCCCGCAACCGTAATTGGCGTAAAGCGATAATTTTAAGGAGGAGGGAGAGAGAAACTCTGTATATATTTTATCTCAAATCTAGAAAAACCGCAGCACCGTTGGAATTTCAATGTCGCATTGATTTTGAAACGGTGACCTGTTAACGACTTGCAGTTTAAATATCGCGATGAGGTGAGAAACGAATTGCAGGAAAACGTGAAAGACTGGTAAAATATTTCAAGGTTGCCCAGGCATACCGTGAGCTTGTGCCATAACATTCGTGCGTGCAAGTTCGCGTGATTCTAATGCCGCTTAATAGCGCGAGTGCCTGTGCAAGACACGCAACGTGGAAGTTCAGGAATTACCGCTGACACTGGGTGTCTACAATCTATCTAAACTGTTATCCATACTATCGCAAGTACCATCGCGATACGTAGGAAAATCGCGCGTGCGGCAGTAAGGTGCTCGTTTATAGAACATTAGAGAGGGCAGGAAATGGATAATATTTTTTCTTGCTGCAGGGAAGTGTGCTTTAAGAATTTTTCTATCTATAGATTTTATCGTTACGAGAAAGCGCTATCAATATTAAATCGTACTTTTTCTAAGAAACTGTTGACTTGAAGTTCTTTATAGAAAAGATCTATTGCTGGAAAGTAATATTTTATTGTTATGAAAAATATGTCTATAGATATATCGATTTTTATTTCTAATAAATTTCACACACATGAATTTTTATACATGATATCCCGTTGTGTAAAGTTCGCTTGCAATCTTTTGCGATTGATTGTATCTCGGTGGACAAGTATAATATTTGATCATTTTGTTAAGTGTAAGTCTTTCGAACTCATTAACAGATCTGTCATTTCTTCGTAAACCACAACTTTTATTACAATCATGACTTCCATAGCTTTCGAATGCGAGAGTAAGAGTTCGAAAGAAGGATTTCTCAGTTGAACGATGTCTGAAAATCTACCCGCGATTATCGATCGTCTAAAAATGGACAAGACGAGGGTGAACGACACCTGTCAGGTCATCCCGACTCAGCCTCCGATAAATTGTATGGATCTTGTGTGGGCTGTGACACTGTCGTCAATGAATGGAGACGTTAATTGCAGCGATCGTACAAAGCTTCGTACCAATCAAGGCTATTTGACCAATCAATCTCGCCAATCAATCTCGTATTTAATACACGGGGATATCGCGCGCCATTTATTGTTAATTATCATTCGGCCGTTTTTGCACCGGCTAGTTTAATTAAAATCGGCGCCGCGCGTTCGCCAAACGAAAATAACTGACCTTTTGTTGCCCTACTTGGGACCGATGTTCAATCGGCGGACTTTGCATCCGTAAGCTGTTATAAAGTATACGGTACCGCTGTGCACGCGCCGTGGTGGACTTCTCTCTGGGTTACGATCAGATTTTCAACTCGCATCTTTGATTCAAATCTACTTCTCTTTCGATCCGTACTAAGAATTGAGATATAAAGATATTGAACTTTTATATCGATAAATATTTCGCAATATTTCCATATGAAACGAAAACTCTACAGATCTTAAGGAGGTAAAAAAAAAGATAAAGGAGTTTGCATAAAGCTTATTTCTTCGCGGAGTTATTTTATCAAAGATTGGATAGTTTTATACACATTTGTGAATTATTGTGAATTAATTGTGAATAAAATATTTGTCATTTGTAACAATTGTAGATTTTTTTTGTCTAGCAAGCGAATTTTTCTGAAAAATGTCTATATTCAATTTCTAGATCTGCTTGGATGCAGTTGTCGTCTGATAACTTGATAGCTTCTGACGAATACGGGTCGGGCATTTGATCTCGGGCTGAACGGATTTCTGCGCGCGTTTCCTCACGCATGATCGCCGAAGCGAAAGGAACGCGTCTCGTCCGGATCGGCGGCGATGCGGACCACACGTGACAGGTTGATCGTCGCGTTATATAGAATTTCTGCGGTTCGGTAATGGATAGGGTATGTTACGTCCCCGCTTCGCTCGCCACGCATCGCGGCGCGGCGTAACTCCACGGCGTGTGCACCGCGCGGCCCGTTTCCCGGCAGGGAGATACTCCGCAAGTTGTAAAAAAAAAAAAAAAAAAACAGCAGAATAAGGTTCGCCAAACGGGAATAAGGTTGCAAACGGGACGCGCGACAGAGCGGAGCTGCAAAAAGAAGAAAAAAAATTCGCCAAACGGGACGCGCGGAAGAGCGGAGCTGTAAAAAGAAGAAAAAAAAGTGGCGCGAAAGCGGAAGCGTAAAGTTTCCGGTCTTTCCCGTATAGTCTCTTTCCCCCGGAAGTAATATCGAAGGATTAATCTGAGATACGATCGGCCTCGCGCCAGGGTGTGGAACAGCAGGATACATAACGGGTAAAGCTACGAGTTCGCCGCTCCCTCGACCGAGCTTTTACGGCAGTGAAAGTGCATTTTACTCGCGTCAGGTCCAGTGGATTGCTCTTTAAATGGCGCGCCTAAGGCTCGTATGCGAAAGAGAGCCTCGAAATAAATCACGCAATTAAGAAGTCGGTATACCTGTGGACATTAAATAAGAAATTAAATTTGTAATAAAATATTGTAGCAATAAAAAAATTAAAACTGGTTTAGTTTTTTAATAATAAAATAATAAATATATCTGTAGAAATTAAAAAAGAAAATAAAAACTGGTTTAATTTTTTAATAAAAAATTAAAAATAGTTGCCTGTTGCGCGTAGCTTGTATTATTCCTCTTTCGAGAGGTTTGGATAACGTTAAACAGGACTTGTAGATCTCATTACAATTCCTCAGGCATGCTATTCTCGAAAGGACTTGCAAAGAGAGCTCTTTGAGAGAGATACTTTATGTGCCGCGCGACGAAGAATTTTAATTTGTATGTTTTCGCGATATTATTGTGAACGTACTTTAAATTCTATAATCTTAAGATCTTATTTGCGTTGTACCCGTCAAAAAGAGTGTTTTAATTTTCTTTCTTAAATCTCTTCCAGGAAGTGTGTCGAACGTCGCTGCATTTAGTTCAAAGATCACCGTGCGAACTTGACAATTTACCAACGTTTCGTTCTAACCGACCTCTCACTCCCAATTTGCCTTTTACGACTCCTTCCCGCCGCCCGTAGGATACGATCGAAATCGCCCGACAGTCCAGGAGGATTTATCTTCCCTCGTGAAAGCGTAACGCTGGGTTTCTAATTGCCTCGTCGTAGCTTCGAGGCCCGTATTTCGCAGCTAAATAGTTTAGCCAGGAATTGCGATTGACGAAAGTTTCGAAAATTTACGCGATCCGAGCACGACACGTGCTTCGAGTGGCAGATAGTCACGCTTCAATGCGAGACATTATCTTTATCGGGTGAAGGACAAGTATATTGTATTGTAAAACGGTACTACGGTCGCTTCGCAGAAATCGATAGTTTATTGCGGCTGCCAAGTTTTAGCACTCTAACGATGAGTTTATTAATAATCGCAATGATGTTCTAAGGAACACCGACAAGATAATCTTTTACAGCTACATTGGATTGAATAACCGATCGATAGTGTAAAAAATAAAGTCATATAGCTTCTACTTCTACGTATACATAAAAATTAATTAGTGGCAAATTAATGTTTTCAGTTTGTTTAATATTATACCTTCGATAGGACGATATTTGTATTGATTGTAAATAGGAAATAAAAGGGAAAAAGGAAAATGAAAGAAAAAATAAGGAAATAAATAGAAAAATTTCTAAATCGCACACTTCGCGATAACTTCTGATTTCATCAGAAGATATTCGAGTTGACATTTGCTCGAAATATCAAGGCCGCTTTGCGACCGGTTCTCGTCGCTAAAGTTTACCGTTAAGCATGACATATCGTAGCTTCCCCTTTCGTGTTATACGGACGGATAAACATATACAGGTGCAAGCAATGGAAGAAAGTTGGGCGTAAGAGAGCCGTAAAGAGAAGCTTGTATCCGAATGCCCATCGTGCTCCGAAGGAAATCGACGTTTCTCCTTCACATTGGCCAATAAAATGCTATTCGATATTGTTATTAATGACGGCGGTCGACGCAATTGCCGACTACACGTCCACATGTTACGTCGATTTACCGTCGATATAAATTATGGGTGGGTCACGGGACTCACGGGAGAGTACGTGACATTTGCATATCGCTAAGTGGCAACCGACGTCACGTCGAATTCTCTGTGCGATTCAATGCACGCGCCAAAGCATCGCGATGCATCTTTCATAATGAAATTACGGCGCATATTATTACATTCGGTATGCCCCTTTCATAAATATTTTTCGACACGAAATAACTCGCTTCATCTTTCGTATCCCCGCTTATTAGAACTTTACAACAGGAAGAACTATTGATCTTTTTCTATTTCTAATTCCATTTTTAATTTCACGCATCTTCAATTTTATCAGAGTTTGTTATTTAAACAATGTAGACATTATCTAATATTTAAATTAGTTATGTAGAAAGATGTAAGAAGCTGGGTTTTATCCCCTATCGGAGATAAAACTGTACATCATCGATTCTCTTCTTCTCTCGTCTCGCCGTGCTTATCTCTGCGTTCTGTATAGAAACTGTTACATTCTGTCGCGAAGAATTTCCGACCTCGCGATATTCCTGATCTTCTTAGATCGTGCAAATGTGCAGAATGATCTGTTTACCTTGAGCGTTTCGATTTTCAAGGGAAAGAAAAACAATATTCAAGACATTTATTTCCTTGAGAAAATAAAATAATTAATTGGAAAAAGAAATTGTCGCAGAAAAAGTTCTTTCCGTCCGTTTTACGCGAACAATGAACTTTGCAAAACCGTGTAAATTCATACGATTCAATTTCTTGAAGATAATTTATTCGAAAAAATATTTAAGATGCTCGAGATAAATGGATCCAAATGTATATTATTGCGGCAGTCGTCCAAGACGACGTGATCGTCTACACGTAACGTTTGCGTTTGTCTTGCGTTCGCAGACCGGGACAACAGCTTTATTCTTCGCCGCCCAAGGCGGATACATGGACATCGCGGGTCTGCTTTTGGAACACGGCGCGATCGTGGATTCGTGCAGCATAGTAAGTAGATGGGACGGAAGAGCTTTTAGCGCGACGGTGTAATATGATCTCGCTGCTTTAACGCTAACATGTCCCACGTTGATTTCAGGACGGCGGCACGCCGCTCTTCGTAGCGTGTCAGTACGGTCATCTGGATGTCGTGGAGGGCTTAATAGAGAGAGGCGCCAGTCCGAACGCCCATATGAAGGTAAGAAAACGCGCTCAAATTGTGCCTATTACCCAATTACAATTCTTAGTATATTCGACTGAAGGCGTTTGAATATTTAGCTCTACGAGTAACATCGAAATTTCTTAGTTCAGTTATTTCATTAAATATAAATCGAATTTAATCGGCATTAAATTTATGAAGATTAAGTACGATTCAATACGGCTCAATCGGACACGTTACTTTATGTATGATATGCATTTGGAATGGCAGCGCGACATTAGTATGCGAGAGAAAGTTAAGAAACCATTATGGCTTGTTTAGGACGGTGCCACGGCGTTGTTTATCGCCGCTCAGAACGGCCACCTCCGTATTCTGGAAGTCCTCCTGGAGCACGGGGCGAAGACGGATGCGGTGAGAACGGACGGTGCCACGCCGCTCTGGATTGCGTCGCAAATGGGACACGACCACGTCGTCAGGAGGCTGTTGAGAGCCGGCGCGAAGGTCGACGCCACGAGACACGTGAGTCCCGCGTAGATCGCGTGTCGTATAATCGCCGAAAATGAGCTCTTGCTATTGTGCACGTGGATTGTGCATCGCGAACAATTTCCTTTCACAGGACGGCGCAACCCCGCTTTTCAAAGCAGCGCACAAGGGTCACACCGCAGTCATCGGCGAGCTTCTCAAGTACCGTCCTTCGCTCGGCGTGCTCCCGGTAAGCGAGAATTGGAGGAAAAAATTGACGAGGCAATTCTGCGAAGTAGTCTTGTCTATCGATGGGAGTTTTGACCTACCTAAAAATTCGTGTATAATTTTAAACTAATATTAATTATATAACTTTATATATATAATTCTACACATATATAATTTCTGTCATGCGCAAATAACTATTAGGTTTCTTTACGGTTTCAGAACGGCGAAAGTGCATTACATGCGGCAGCCTTGACGGGACACATGACGGTTGCGAGGCAGCTCGTGGGAGCGGGGGCTGATCCTTTGCTCGTAAATCAGGAAGGCATCACGCCGCTTCAGCTGGCCGTCCGACACTCGCAGACGCAGGTCGCCAATTACCTGAGGGATAAAGTGAGAGTGCGAACCGCATCCTGTTAGCGATACTTCCTCTATCCTAATACTACCATATCGAGAATCTCGAAATATTGTTCGATGCGTATACAAATAGAGTGTCATGAAAAAGGGTAGTCTGGTCTTAAAATCGATAAGAATTTTATTACTGATAAAAGAATGTTATAGTAATGTTTAAATGTGAAAAGTTATTTTATTATTTTATTATATATATTAAAGAATGTTATATAAATATTAAGAATGCGAAGCATAATATATATCTTTTTTATTACTGATAAACTTCTTATCGTCGCTGGAAATAAAATTAGGCTATTCTTTTTCGTGCGCCGTTTTATATTGCATGTGATATCAATGATCACACTAAGCACGCAAAAGATGTGACAATGAAAAGAAATTTAATTTCATGTAGTAATATTAGCGGATACGCTAACGAGCGTAAATAAAAGTCGATTATATTAATAGAGACTGTGAGCAGGAATCCGTCTTTATAAAAGTGATTAGGTCTGTTTGTTTATGTCGTTCTTCTCTCCAAAGCCAGTTTGATTTTAAGTACAGAAAGTAAAATAAAAAGTGCGATTAAAACAGACAGACCTATTGTTATGTAGTGTACATAATTATGATACCATTCCGTTCCGTTGTAAATTTTGATAAAAATATTTTAATACAGTTTTCTATTGCCAGACGTATAAAGTGACGTCAGAATGTTGTGTTCGTCGAAAAATAATGTATCTACTTCTTTCTGTTGTATTGCACTGTATAATGCATAGATTTTATAAATTTCACCTATTAACAGTAGTCCAATGTCTCATGCAATTGCATGCAATGAAAATTCAACGTATGTCAGCAGTCTGTCTCCAGAATAAGTGTACTGACTATAATTATCGGAGAAGCATTATCAGTTGATTTATTGAAATTGACGAGTTTATAAGACTGACTGATTTGCCTTGAGATATATATTTTCTTATTATGCAGGTATAAAATGCAGATCTTTTATCTATTTCTTATGTAAGGGATGTGTGAGACGATAAAGTTGTACTTGTCACATTTGTTTAGAACACATTTTATTATAAAATAGCATCGATGCACACCAGGCAATTGAAAAATTACAACGCATGAAATATCGCATATCGCATTACATTTCGGTTATCGAAAAATAAACTTCTAAATGAAATTAGAGTACACAGTGATACTTAAACATTTTACTTCAATATAATATTTAAATATTTTGAAATAATTTCAGCTTTGTAGAAAAGTAATAAGTACTCCTGTCTTCCTAACAAACAGCACACGGTTCATTAGGTGTAGTTATCGTTATTGTTAACGAAAAAGTGCAAAAAATCAATAAAGTGCTCTATAAAGAAAACAGATGTCTAATAATATATAATGTTATATACTGAATACTCCATTACGAAACAACTTTGATTATTATCCCTTCATGAAATATATTATGTGCGCATATAATTTTATACAACTATTGCTGAATTGTTTGTACTTCTTTCTAACTATATTTATCATTAATTTTCTTTTGCTATATAAGTAACTATCTATACATGTAATAATGAATAATTAGCCAAGTTTGCTTCGCACATTATCACAGAATAGTTCGGGACACCACAAATTGAAGCATATTAAAACTACATATCGTTTAAATGAAGAATACATAAAATACGAAATTTAAAATACGAACTTTTTACTAACTATATGATGATACTGTAATAGAACTATCGCAATAAATTACGTTCACATATTTTTATCAATAAAATTCTTACTAATAAATAATTAAAATATTGTTTCGTTATAATAATAAAAGCAATCTATTATTGACTTAGCAAAAACAATTTAACGAGACTTTTGAACTTGTGTTATGTCATTATTTAAAACAAATATTTTTTCTGTTTTATACTTTTTATAATAAATATAGAAAGTTTCTAGATAATTCAAATGTCTTATTAAATGTCAAAGTAACTATAAAATAATTTTACATTTGTACTTTCATTTCAAAGCACTCGTTGATTCATAAAAAAACTTATAAATATATATTTTTATAAAGAAAAAATAATAGGCAGTTCTTCATCGCTAGAAGCTAATTTAAACTTAAAAATAAAGTCAATGTCAAAGATTTGTTTTTCTATCAAATTCTGTTTTAAACACAAATATCGATTTGAATATAAAAAAAAAAAAAGAAAACATTTCTAGACGGAAAAAATTAATGGTGACCAGTGTCATTTAAGGCTCCTGGATGGTCAGCCGAGAACTCTGCGTTGACGGTGGCGCCGCCACTCTCTCCTCTCACTCTCTCCAATGGAGAATTCTGTCTTGTGACATGTTGACAACCTATTTTGTCGTCCTTGCTATTTCTTTATTACTCGCTCTGTGCTTGTGCTCTAACGTTTAACGTATTCGTGAAAATCGTAAAATTGACCGAAAAGTAAGATTTGCATGCGGAAGTAACGTTTTCACCTCCTTTCGATAGTCGTTAAACGGCTGTTTTTCCCGTATGTTTAGGCTTTGTTTTATGGCTGTTTGTTTATTGTCGAGGGAAAAGGGTAGTTTTCGGTCAATTTCGGAAGTGTTCTGAAACGATCTATAGTGATGTTTTATTGAAATGTCTCTTTATTTGAAAATGGTACGGACGACAAAATTGGGTGTTTTCCTCGCCTCAATAGTGAAAATTCAATATGGCCGCGGTGACCATCCAGGAGCCTTAATAAAAATTCCTTTTGAGACTAATAATTATTTCGTCTTTAGTATTATTTGACAAACAAAAACAAAACGTTTAACATCAACGTAATATTATATCGCTCTCTTACGGAATTAATAAATTAAAGAAACGTATAATCGCGCGTCGGCCTTCTGGCGCACAGTTGCCAAGTGCTCATTTCCTATTTCATTTCAGATGCAAAGTATCTTCTACCTATGTGCACTTTAGAAGCACGTCACGCGTTTCAGTCGAAGAAACACTCGTGGTGGAGTGTTTCTCCGTCGACGACGATATATCGACTACGATGTACGAAGCCGCAGAACGAATTTTACCTGATATTCATAGTGCACTGATAAGAAAGATAACGAAGCATACCGTATTTATTCCACTCACAGAATTATCAGTTCCATGCCGATTCTAAAGGAATACTCGTCATGATTCGCGATCGTATGCCCGATTTGCGTGCCGTTAGTATTCGTATTTTTTCTATAGTTATTAGAATTGTGTTGAAAAGGAAAAGACCTTGAGCCTCGGCTGTTGAATATACCGACTGTCTCGAACAGTGCCTTCGCATATGATTCATATGTGCAAATAAAAGTTTCGCTTCAGAATTAATTCGGAGTTTGTCACTCACTTGTATTCTCGCTTGCGATTAATAAATGCTCAGATGCAAATAAACTGTACGAACAGCCGTATAACATCGCCATATAATGACCATATTACTAACTTCTCCAGAGCCGAAGTAACAGCAGTACCTTTGGCAGAGGTTTCTTGCAGGACGTACACCTTCAAATAGCTCAAAATAAAAAGCTCAAGGAGCTGCTCGACGAAGTACGTATAAACGCTATCCAGTTCAAAACTGTGTACCTTGCACTCTTTCATAATCGTAATAATTGAGACACACCGTGTTGATGTAGGCCGAGGAAATACGCGCTCTGATCCATCTTATAGTCGAAAACGTTTCTATCGTGAAGAACTTGCATAACAATATCCTGTCGCATACAAATAAGGGTAAGTGGCAGTATCCAACGTGTATACGAATTTCATTTAATATATATATTATATAATAGATTTCGATAATTGTTTATATATATATATAGATATATATATATCTATTTATAGACTTACAAAAAGAATTGGAGACTCGCACGTGCACGATCTCGCAGACGGCTTTTCGCGTGCAGCGAAAGTTACGAGGTAGGTAGATTTGTACGTAGATTTCGTGAACGACTCATCTAATGTTCGAAACTGAGATCGAAATTATCATAGCTCACGCTGTCCCTTAGAATTTTACGTCGAGACATATCCGACGATATTTCTTGGTCGCTCAAGGGCCTTTTCACGCGTATTCTTTGAGCGGGAGACTCGTTGGAATAGGAATCTAGATTTTGCGTCAATATAGGCGTGCTGGTACCGAAGCTCGGCTCTGGAGGTGGCGTTTGTATCAGCAACGATCTTTCCGGATGCACCGACGAACCTTTAATTAACGCGTCGTAAGTTGATGCGATTTGCGAGCGATTACCGGAATCTACTGATTCATTGCTCTTACAGCACGATATCGTTGAGCGTGAAATACGGTGAAGTAGAACTCGGGGTGTCGTTTGCTTACATATTTCCGCCAGCTCCTTATTTACATTAGGTGACAAACTGCTGCTTTTACCGTCATCGTTCTCTGAATTAATTTTGTCTTTCAGTCTCCTGAAACATTACATTAATACATATAGAAATCTGTACTGACAAAATAATTTGCGTTGTAATAACACATACATGTTTTCAAGTCTTTAAATACCATATCAAATATTCATGTTATTTCGCAGAAGACAAGAAAAGAAGTATTTCACATAAAATGGTATAAGTCGAAGATAATTTTTATCTTTCGCGCAAAAAAGAATATAAAAAAATATCACAATGCACAAGAATTTTATAACGAGAGATTTTGTACCAGAATAAAGTAATCTACAGTCACTTGTAGACATACATACCGTTGGTAACGATCCATTTCTTTTTCCAATTCAGGATATTCGTTTAATAAGTTTATCAGATGTTCTTTTTCGTATTCCGAGTAAATCTTGAATAGCAGACCATCTACGTCGTCCTCCAAGGGAGACTTCAGTGCAGCCAGCTTTTTCTTAAGCGTAATTAACGTAGGTAATAAATTATCTAAATTATGTTTCTTCATTGCCGCTATAATGACGTTCGTGGCGTTGTTGTTAGGCGTACACGAGGGACTCGAGGTCGTGTCATCAAGCTCCGACGTATCACCCCTGTGTTTCTCAACGAGGGACGACGGTTGCATACGATTATTGTTAATTATGAACACCGCGTCCTTCAAGACGCACGCACCCTCCTCGGTCGTGACGTCGATAGAATTCTCGTCGGATATCTCGCGAAGTACGTACTTGGTCAGTTTCACAAGCAGTTCAGACTTCGCGGACACGTCCAAATGTTCGAGCATAAATTCGTAAATGACATTACGTTTGTCCCGATTCGCTCTCCCGGGCAGCGTTAGAAGCTTCCTCTCCTGATCGCGCATCCCGTGTCCGCAGAACGCGCTCCGGGAGCGGCAGTTGTTGTAATGATATATGCTCTCCAGAAACTGTTGGGAGATCAAAGTCTTGTTCTTCATCAAGAGTCTCTCTTCCACTAGGAAGGTCGTCAGTTCGCGTATCATCCTGTCCGTGTCCGACAGCATCGTCAATATGTGAAAGAAAAATGGTCCCTTCATCTTTATAAAATCCTCCAGCAACAGCTGAATGAATATCACCACTATAGCTTCCCTCACGGCTGGATTCGGGTCCTTCATGCTGATGCACAAATCCGGCAGGTACGGCTCCACCAGAGCGGTGAATCTCACGCAGATGTCGGCCAGCGCTTTCGCGGCGTTTATCTTGACGGCGGTCTTCGTCAGCGAGTTCGGATTCGTTTCCTGGCGCATCAGGTTACCGAGTATCGGCGTGACTTCCTTCGCCACTTCGCGATCCCTCAGCGCTTGCTGACAAAGCAGAACCACCGCGGACGCCTGTAGATCTTTTATTTCCTTCACCGTGTCCGGCAGTGATTCCCACTGCAACAGTAATCTTCCGAGAATTTGCAAAGTCGACGACGAAATCTTGTTGGTGCACAAGAGCGACGAGTGGCCCAGGGTAAATATAGCTCTCATCTTCACCGTGTCTTGCGTACAGCTCTCGCTCTCTTCCAGCAAGTCCTGTACCTTCGCCTCCGACAACTTCATCAGCTCCACCATGTTCGATTCTATCAAATGGCTGCTTTTAACGGCGTCCAAGTATCGTAATATGCTACTCAGGATGTCCAGGCAAATGCTGATCAAGTTGAAATTGATCTCGAAGTGGCAAATACATTTGTAAAGATGCTGATAGAGGTCCTCGAGGCAATCGCGATCCAAAACCGACCAGGCGTACCTTAAAACGTGTAGAACCAAACTCGCGTGGAAATCGTTCTTCCGGATGACTTCCTTGTAATCCACGATATATCTATCTATACTCGGAATCTTCATATTCTCGGCTAGAGCGGCCAGCAGTATCCACGCGCCTATAGTGTTGTCCGTACCGACGTGCGACTGCAAATTCGATATCACAGACTTGGTAATGTCGCCGTTCTTCACCCATAAGCTGCAAGCTTTCGACAAATGTTTCCTCATTCTCAGGTTACTCAATCTATCCAGGATCCTCCACGGCAGGCTATTCGCAGCGTCTGGAATGTACATAGTAGCGCTCGTTATTCTATTTATCAATACGTTTCCCAGGCACTCCAGCACTTTTTCTTGAACTTTGGCTTCGATGTCGTATATCTGCGGTACAACAGCCTGTATCCATTCGTCGAGAAGACCCGAATCGTGAGGGAACTGCTGCAGGATCTCCGACAGGACGTGCACGGCAAACTGGCGCACGGTCAAAGTGGGATCCCTGCAACGATCGCTTATCACGTGCGTCATTTTGCTTATAAGTGACGGGAACATGATGGACAGGTTTCTCGAGATCTTCAAAGCGCTCCGTCGTACCAGCGCGCGCTCGTCGTTGACTCTGTCCAGCAACATTGCGATTAAAGCGGTTGATCCCGGCAACGGATCAACGTCCTCCAATAACGCTCCTTTCAGCTCGTCAAGCATGGGAAAGGTTTTATGCGAGGCTGAAGCTTCGAACATGCTTTTAAGAATGGTCTTGTCGGCGTCGTCGTTGCAATCAGAAAACGAGGCAAGCGTGGCCATAGCTTTCCCCCTCACCAAGGAAGACCGATCCGTACAACGGGACAATACAATCGCTATCAAAATCTTTCTCATCCTCAGCTTGATCTCCTTGTCTAAATCGTTGTTCGACAAAGACGATTCCGTTAAAAGCTTTCCTACAATCTCCTGCGCGAATAATCTGCAAGATATCTTACCGCTGCGCGAGAATAATATTATGTCCTCGAAAACACTTACGACAACGTCTTTGTTACATATATTCAACAGTTTTATCACGACGGCCGCTTGCCTCTGACGTCCCTCCAATCTTTCCGGACACTTCACCATTAATTGGTGTATCAAAGTAACGATTCCCTGCACGGTCTCCCGCTGGTGAATCTTCAATAAATTTTTCAGAAAATATATAGCCGCCTCGTGCACAATGGTTATAGATTTCGGTTGGGCGTTTACGTGATGGAACAACAGATCGGGCAGCATGTACTGCGCTATTAACATTATCGTCAGGGCGACAGTTCCGTGACTGCTGCTGCACAGCTCCTGCAGAGCTGCAAACGCGTTACGGGACAGAGACGCTATTCCGTAATTGTTGTGTGACCTGATGTACATCTCCAGCCTCGTGATATCCAGCAGCATGCGTATCGTGACGTCCAGGGAGTCGGTGTGCTCTTTAAAACGAAACGACTTCGACATGGCAATTAGATCAGAAATAATTCTATCGAGTCCTCGCGCGAGCTTCGACCTCTCGGAATGCAACGTCCGGCCGCGACGGTCCGACGACGGCTCGTCGTCGTCGACGCTGGAATTTATCATATCTACTTCCTTACCGCTTCTGACCGGGGGGAACAAACTCTGCGACATCTTCAGCGTCTCGATCGCTCGCTGGTACAAGTTCGGATGGTAAACCCTGAACGCGTTGCTGCCCGGTATCGTGAGGAGCATGAGGTAAAGGCTCGTGGCCTCCAGGCACGCCTGTCTGGAATCCTCGTCGGTCTCGGCGTGCTGGCCAGCCTTCATTATGTAACCCAGCATGGCAAGCAGCCTGCGCACGTTGATGTTGAGAATCATCAGGGCCTGCCACGAGAACTCGGACGTCTCGTGCTCGTTCGCGGCGAGCCATTCCTTCAGGACGACCCGAGACTCGCGCAGCAGCAGCCTCGCGCCGTCGCTCTCCAGGTACTCGAGCGACTCGTCGGGCGGCTCGTCGTAAACGACGAACTCGGCGTCCCAGATCGACTTGATCCAGCCCTCGTCGAGGGTGTCGAGCTTAAAACTGTGAAACACGCGCAGCGATTCCATGACTGCGGTCGTCGTGACGATTGGCGACGATTTCAAAACGCGGCACCCGCTATCATTCCTCGCCCTCGCGAGCGCGGCACCCGCGCGACGTAAACATAACCTTAACTTATCGTCACGATAGCGTGCCACGGGATAGAGGTGCGGCGGGGTTTCAGGTTATCATCCTCTGCACGAGTATCGATAATGATTTTACGGTCCTTCTACAGTGCGAGCTGTCGGCGTGTGTCCTCGCGGAGAATTTATCGTGAAACATTTCGTTTATCGTGACGGGAAGCGCGAGACGAACAACAGCGTCCATGTATAAGCGGGAAACTGAGTGACCATTTGACCAATCGTCTGTATAAACTGTTTTAAATGTCGCATACATGACATACTTACACACACATCCTCGGTCCTCGCGCACACGCACACCAATAATACTCAATTGCATACATATATATATGCACTTATCAATTTTGCATATTTGAACAAGTGAAACGACATATCTTGCAACACGCATGTATGCATAAATATATTAATTTTAATTAACAAAGTTCTAAAATAATTATATATGATATAGATTGCGTGTACTATTAATATCAAAATATGCAATAAATTGTAATATTGATACATATGCATATAATTAGGTAACTGCTATATGATAAAAATTACATAATTGCAACTACAATAAGAAATTGCTTAATGCAAGAAATTTAAATTTTTTTAGAATGTTAATTTATATATGAAAAATCTCAATCGTGAGACAACTCATTTAGATTTATGTATTTATCCATGCGATATTCGATTTTAGATTCGTATGTTAATGCGTTTGCTCTCTTTTCTTTTCATTTATTAATTCCTATTTACATCCTTTGCAGATATTGGAAAAGGTATTACTATCGTTGACGATGTGACCGCAATGCAAGATGAATCTGTATACACGAGAATTAGAATGTTACAATATACGACTACGCTGCAATTGTTTTCCGAGATCATGGAAGATTACAATGCCTCGTTACTAAAATATCACGATAAATGCCTGTTGCTCTTGCAACAGCAACGTACACTACGTGCGTACTTACAAAAAAATTATATATTCGCAAAATATATATATATATCTCGTATATCCTTATAACACTTTTACAGCATTTTTATATTTATAAATCTTTAATCCTTATTTTACTATAATCATTAAAATTTAAATTGTAATATACCAATTTAAATATTCTTTATAATAATTTATGTACGCATTACTCAATAATTAAACCATTTGTTGAATAGTAAGGCGGCAGCTTACAAGTGTTGAATTGGACCATATGCTTGACGCTCAAGAAACTAGCTTATTTGTCGATAACGTAAATATGAATTTGCCATTACAACAGCACGTGTCACAATCTTTTTATCGTCAAATAATCTAATTGATTGTGCGCAGATCTTAGAGGACAGCAAGATAGCGCGGCAACAATTATCAGATATAGAAAGTAGACACAACGATGTCCTAAAATTGGAGAAATCTATCACAGAGGTCAGAGATATATTTGCGGAAATGGCATTCCTGATCGAGGAACAGGCAAGTATAAACATCGTAGTTAATATTATGGCTTACGAATTGTGTAACATTGCTAAAAGTACAACTTAGGAAAGATGACATTTAGAATCTTTCTATAGGGAGAACAAATTAATAACATTGAATATTTTGCTAATAAAACTACGGATAATATCGACGGTGGACGCGTTCACCTCAGCAAGTCAGAACAGAGGAGCCATAGATATAAAAAGGTATATTATATATATATATTTATTTAATTGCTTGTTTACTTATTTTTGAGCGGGCGATATTATAACGATTACATTACTTTTACAGCGGAAAATCAAGATTTACATTATCATAAGTGTGATAGTAATAATTTTTCTTTTATTTATCATTGCGTCACTTTAAAAACTATACAAACCATCTTATGAATGTAGTTTAGCTCAATGTTTTAATATTAGTGTCAACTATGAATAAAAATTTTATGCATATATGATGAATATAATTTACAATTATTCTTTGCCAATATTTGCATATTTTTCGTAATAGTTTACCAATGCTTTCGCGCTGGGTCTTAATTTGTAATCTATGGTACATATGTAAAATATTTCAAGTACATTTTCATATTCTTTGCCCAAGTCGATAGCAGGTAAAGCTGGACGTGTACCTAAAAAAAAAAATCAATTTTATTTTATTAATTTAATTCACTCTAATTTATTTCGAATAAAGTTATATATAGTTAACGGGGCCGTTTCAAATTACAAGAACTAATTACCGTATTTTTTGGATCTAGGCGGCATTATCTCTTTAAGGAAAGTCATACTTTCGTCCATACTAATGTCAGATTCGTCAAGTTGATTATTTTTCATGTCCTCCGACGCGTTTGACTCGTCAAGAGATTCATTTTCGTCACAATCTTCAGAGTGGGGTGTCGATAAAGCTATCATTTCCCAAAGAACAAGGCCGTATGTCCAAATATCAGCAGCACTCGTCACTGGTCCATCATCTGCAAGAAAACAAATTTAATTTAAAAAAAAATCGCAGTCCCGAATATTATAAATTAAAAGGTAAGTGTGGTAAGATTCCTGAAGCAATTGTGATTTTAAAGATTGTGGATAAGCTCAACGTATCATGATTTTGAAAAGTTAGGAACTTTCATAATATAATTGAACAAGCAAACGTACCGTGCTCAATCTCAGGAGGATTCCAACATTTTGTCCCGACATAACAAAAATCGCCCTTCGACGTGTCCATTTCTAAAGATTCTGTCAGGGGTATAGAACTTCCAAAGTCGCACAGTTTGACCCTGCTGAAATCATGGGATACCACGATGTTCCAACTTTTTATATCTCCGTGTAATATGTGCGCGGTGTGATGTAGATATTTGAGTCCTTTCGCAATTTCAAAACCCACTTTTAAAATGTCCTTGGCTGGGAAAGGAACGTTCTCCATGATTTCCTGTCTCTCCTCGATAGTGTCACCTGATTTGCAACATTAAATGTCAAATACGAGTGCAAAGGTATCGTAAAAATGTTCAAGTTAGCTAACACTTTGTAAATACCAAGTGACATATCCAACGCTTCCATGGCTAAGCAAGACTTTCCGTCTGATCCCTTGGCGAGTGCTCTGAAACCAACGATGTTGGGATGATTCAATTGTCGCAGGACATCAGCTTCCAATCGAAGACGCTTATCGTTTGTCTCGTTGTTTCTTGCCTTCAGCCACTTTTTTACTGCCCATGGTGAGCGTACGGAGCCCACTTTAGGCGATCTTTCCAACATGTACACTCCTATTCCTGAAAATATGGAAAATATGGAAATAAAATGCAATTCCCCACAGATTTTATTCTTAATAAAATTTTACAAGCACAGCAACACGATAAGGAAGCAATCGTACTAACTTCAACCAATATCTGACTAACTTAATCAGCGAGTAATCCAACCAGCAGGATTTCTTGAAGCAAAATATCTATATAATTCATCATTCCTAATTTACATTGTTTTTCACAAGTTAAACAAAAAAAATTAATAACTCCATATTAACAAATATTAATGCTGATAAGTTAATCACTAATTAAGTCAATCGCCGATTAAACTAATCAAAGTTAAGTCCAAGTCTATCATCCTAAATGTTCTGCCTACCATGTGGATGGCAAAAAGAGGAGCAAATGTGGAAAAAGCGTTTGCGAGGTACGTACCGGTGCCATAGCCTATCTGTCGCAGAAAAGGCGAGGCCGGTATTTTTATCGGCGTATTTAATTCGGCCTTGTCCGTCACCCTGTTGCCCGTAACCCTCGGCGGCGTCTGGAACTCGGCCATGTTCCCAAAACAAAACTGAAAAGATCAGCAGCGGAGAAACGACCAAACGACGGATCGCAAACGACAACACTCGGAGTAACCGTCGGCTTTCAAACCGTTTGAACTCGTCGGATCTGCGCAAGCGCGTCTCGCGCGACGACGCGATTGGCTATAGGGGAGACGGAGAAATCTCCATAATCCAGAGTGACTTCGCTCAAATTTTAATAAATAATTAATTAATTAATAATAATTAATTAATTATTAATCAGCGATTAATTCAGCCGGCCGAATTGTTTAAAGCGATATAATTTATTATAATCTATCTTTTTTTTAAATTAACAATTTTTTTCTACAAAAAATTAATAATTTCACCTACAAAATAATGCAGATGGAGTTTGATCGAATAGCTGATGGTGTGTTCTGCGGCTCTGCGCTCGTTTCATCGATATTGCTTTTTTTTCCGGCCAAAGATCGCGCAAGGCGATTGGTTCTCGCGCGTCGCTCGTCGCACTGCCAATCGCACGCAACGTTCGATCGCGAAGCCCCCGATTTCCGGCGCGCCGCGCGAGGTCGCGGTTGGCGGCCCTTCGACCCGTGCGAGAGCAGCTCGCTTCAAAAGAATCGAAGCAAAGATGGACTCCTGAGAGATTTTTATACACACACCAGAGTCGTGCCACCCCCGAAGACTTGGGATTATCTCGCCATTAAATTCTCACCGAGGCGCGCCCGAGGAGGGCCGAACGTTCTTTTATGATCACGCTCGCGAGGTGTGAACGATGATCGTGCAGGAGCCAGTGCAGGTAAACCAGGGCAGAGAGAATGACGGAGTGACGGGGGGGGAAAAAAGTAAAAGTGTGTTGGATTCTCGTTGGGACCTCGTTGCCGCTGTGACATGCGAGATTTCGTATATCGGGGCCGCATATCCACGCGACGACGTCCGCGCGCGCACCTCCGACGGCTTCGATCGCGCCGAACGACTTCCACGGCGCGGTCGCCTCTCAAAGGCAGGATCCGTCCAGAGACGGTCTCTTTCGCTACTCTCCTTATCTCACCCGTCTCTATTGATGTTGCTGGACGTGTGCTGAGCCCTCGAGTCTGTTTGCCTCGCTGCAAAGAAACGAGCGGAGCGAAGGAGAGCTCCGGGCTATAAATAATCGTGAAACTTCCTTGTACTTGTGAATTTTTTGACAAACGGTCCCCTGAGAATCTAATGCGGAAGAAAAACGTGGCTTCTCTCTAGAGTTCAGATCCGTCGTGGTCCGCCAGATTGTTAAGAAAATTCAATTTGTTATTTTGCGTTTGCAAATTATGTTAGTAAATATGAGTATTGCGCATGTATCGGCTGAACAATGAGATGTTCGATGAAATGTTCGGCATCCAGAATTGAACGCGATAGAGCACACATTGTTTGTATGCCGTCTTATCAATTCAGAGATTATAGCATTATTAAACGTTTCCGGAATTATATAGCGTTTATAGCATTACATATGGTTAATTAAGATAACACTTTTAACGTGCTTTTAGGGACTATTGAGTTGATTGAGTAACATTGATATATTACATTATGCGTGTAATAATGGGCTATAATGTTCAATAATGTAGCTATCTATGTTTTTCTAATATTACGTTGAAATCTAAGAACATAGATAATATATATTTATTGTTAACAGAGTATACATTATAAGTGTCTTTCTCTCGATAATTTCTTGCATGTCATCTTGCCTCTTTTACTTGATAATTCATATTACTGTTGCATAATCAGTTACCGAGATAAATGTTGTATTTTTCAATTTTAGGCAGCCATATGGCACTGTTTAAATCATTATGCTTATCCAGATGCTATATTCCTGGCGGAACGGTTGTGTGCAGAAGGTAGGATCATCTACTTTTTTTAAATCGATTTATCGTCATATTTTGGTAGAAAGAATGAATTTACGATTTTATGTATATATACATATTGATATTGATATATTATTACAGTGGACACTGAAGAAAGTTTGTTTCTTTTGGCAACATGTTACTATCGCTCTGGTCGGATTAGGCAAGCTTATGCCTTATTATCGCAGAAGGCGCCTAGTACAGCACAATGTAGGTTTCTGCTAGCGAAATGTTGTTACGATTTGGAAAAGTAAGTAACGTGATGTCTCGTTTTATTCGCCTTGCTGTACATAATGCGAGTATACATAATATTGATTTTCTATCAAAAATTTCTAGGTATGCGGAAGCAGAGGCTGCGATAATCGGCGGATATTACAAACAATTGAAGAATTTGGAAGAAATAATAACTCAGTTCGGAGAACAGGCGTGTTTTTCCCTGCAGATAATAGCGAAGATTTACTACAAAATGATGCGTACCGCGAGAGGTAACGAGGCGCACAAGCTGGCTTTAAAATTGAATCCCTTCCTCTGGCACTCGTTCGAAGAGCTCTGTAACGTCGGCGAGAAGGTGGATCCCGCCAAGGTTTTTCAGTTAGACAAACTAGATTCTTTCGCTATGTGCCACGGTACCGTGTCCACGCCCAACTCTTTCACTGAACCGGATCTTATCGTACCTGGAAATAACGCCAATTCACCTATGTCGAACGGCACTAACATGTACGTACATATACAATATACGATATACAATATAATAATTCCTTTTTTATTAACAATTTCTTTTGCGCATTGCAGGACACCCGTGACGACAGTACCAACGCTGATAAATGGCGGCCAGGTATCTCAGGTTCGATTGTGTTCCACTATGGAGGAGACCCCACAAAATGCGCCAATTCACTATAGCAACTGTTCCTCGATATCGCCGAGGACCAAAGGACTGTCACGTTATCGCAGCATGTTCAGCAATTCTATGAGTCCGCTCACGCCTAGCTTCGGTATTTTGCCGTTGGAAATCAATACACCTGAGCCGGCAGTTCCACCCTCGCATACGACCCTCACGGAAGCCAACGACCAAAAGAGCTTGGCGAAACGCGTCAGCAGTCTAAGAGCTCATGTAGGGGTAAGTTTAGTTTCTCAGCCATTATAATGTCGGCATTGTAATACGGCAACTTAATGTTTTTCGCTCTCGTGTTTTGCAGCAATTGATGTCGAGAAAAGAAACACCGTTGCAACAAGGCAAATCAGTATTTTCCCAGTCGGGTAATACAAGCAATACTGCCAATATTGTGACAGTGACAGCGGCTAATCCGACTTCACCCTCGTCACCGACGTTTCAGGGTACCAATGTTAGACGGTCGTCACGACTTTTCAGCCACAATTCCGTAAAGGTAAAATTTTTTTGCTTTGAGACTTTTAGTTACGCTCATTTTATCGTTCACTGGCAATTTGATACGATGCATACGTTTCAGGAAAACAATAAGTCACCTAATAGGAATAAATTCGCAACTCCAAAGTCTCCGTCTCGGAAGACGAAAGCGAGACTAGCCAAGGCGAATTTGAACAAAGCCAACTTTAACGAGTTAAATGAGAGGAATAGAAATGAAAAGGAGAAAAGCGAAACGATTACGTCGGAAAAAGCTGTGGCTAACGCAAACGCACTCAATGCCCAAAATAATAATATTCATTCTGGGATAACGTTACAAAAGCAATCGGCAGGTACGTTAATTGTATTTAGTTGATTTATTTGATATGTCTTTCTCTTGTTAGGATAGTTTTGAATGTTTTTGTTCTGCAATTTTTCAGAAGGATTGATGTCTTTATTGCGAGATTTAGGGACGGCGTATCAGCACTTGAGTCAGTTCAAATGTACGCAAGCGGTTGAAATATTGAGTATATTGCCGACACAGCACTATAACACAGGCTGGGTACTGTCCATGATGGCTCGTGCGCATTTCGAAATGATGGATTATAAGAAGGCTGCTAGGTAACAAACTTATATTAAATATCACTATCAAAAAATATATTTATTTCTGCACTTTCTTCCATTTATAATGAAATAAACATAAGTTTGATCTTTGGAGCAAGAATATGAAAAAAAAAAACTGGGTAGAAAGTGCAATAAAAAACAGATCTTTTCTTTGTTTCTGATACATTTGCATTCTTTTTTCCCCTTCTTTTTTAAAATTCTATTTGCTTTATTTCTTTCGTGCAGTTATTTCGCCGAAGTACGACAGTTAGAGCCACAGAGGACAGAATTGATGGAGATTTATAGCACCGTTCTGTGGCATCTGCATGCGGAAGTACAGTTGTCTACACTTGCTCAAGATCTGGTTTCCCAAGACCGTAATTCGGCGGCGGCATGGTGCGCCACGGGCAATCTCTTCTCGGCGCAAACGGAACACGAAACTGCAATCAAGTTTTTCCAAAGAGCTATTCAGGTACTGTGCATTTGTCCTAGTTATAGCATGGTAAAATATTAACAATTCTGACAATTCATATACAATTGTTATTTCATTTAATAGAGTAATGTGTTATTCTCTGATTATTTATTAGGTGGATCCTAATTTTCCGTACGCCTATACGTTACTAGGACACGAATACGTTTTGACTGAGGAACTAGATAAAGCAATTACTGCTTTTCGTAATGCCATCAGACTCGACCCCAGACATTATAATGCATGGTAAATTTTTGTAAATAATTTTGTTAGTGTATCGTAACGTTTCATACTTTTTGATTATTCTCTGAGTCTATATGTAAAATTTTTCTTCATATTAAAGGTTCGGATTGGGAACGATATTTTCGAAACAGGAACAATATAGTTTAGCGGAGTTACACTTTAAACGGGCCTTACAAATAAATCCGCAGAATTCTGCGCTGATGTGCCACATAGGTGTCGTGCAACACGCTCTGAAGAAAACCGACCAGGCGTTAAAGACTTTGAACACCGCGCTAGTTAACGATCCGGATAATACTTTGTGCAAATTTCATCGCGCAAGCATAAACTTCTCCATTGGTCGACATATGGAAGCTTTAAGAGAATTCGAGGAGCTAAAGAACATTATACCCAAAGAATCTCTAGTCTATTATTCAATAGGAAAGGTAAGAAGATCAGTTAATCAAACGGAATTTTTTATCTTCATTTTTCTTATTTAAATATATCTATCTGTTTCTTAAACAGGTGCATAAAAAATTGGGTAACACCCATCTTGCGTTAATGTACTTCAGTTGGGCAACGGATTTAGATCCGAAAGGTGTTAATAGTCAAATTAAGGAGGCTATATTGAGTCCTGGTCAAGGAGATGACGATTCCCCGCCGACACAATCAGGTATATGATTATCAGACATAGTGAGAGCTATATAGAATTTTAATTTTTTTTAGAATATTAAAATTTGAGATTATTTGCGTTAAAAATATATTATTTGCTATTTTATACTTAGATAACTGAAGTGGTTTAATTTAATGCCTTTGTCACAAATATGAATTATTGATAACATAATGGTTTACAATTAATTTCGAGTCTCTCATTCAAAATTATTATATTCTTACAGATGAACAGCAAGCACAAAGTAATTCAATGGAACAAGATGTCGAAACCAGTAGAGAAGGAAGTGCCGCGCCACTTGCCGGAAACGTCTCGGTCGAGCCACATGCCGACGACAGCGACGATAGTTTATGAAAACGATATGCGAGAAGACTTCCGTGAGGAAAAATATGGAGCGTCGTTATTCTCGTTGTCAGTCATTCGAATCGTTTCTCATTCGTCGACCTGGTTTCGCTTACAGAATCACTGATGCGCGATCATTGATTTAAATTGAACGGTTGTCGAAATATCATCTTTGCAAACTATTGCGTACCATTCATGATTCGGTTAAAAGGAGTTATTACATTATTATTTCACATCATCAAATTTTCTTTTTATCTTGCACGAATTCCAAGTTCTTATATACACGGATGCGGTGTCCTTGCGATAATAGAAGACTCGCGTGTCGTACCCTCTATCGACTTGTACATTACGCGCTCGCCTGTGTATATTTTTTTACGATTGCTCGATCACTTTTTGTATTTCTTCATGCGCTCTTCAATCATCTTTCTCTCTCTCTCTCTTATACCTCGTTCCTCGCGAATTAAAAACCGCTTAAAGTCAAACGTGACTTGGAGACGGAAACGTGAAGCTGAGTTTCACGTTTGGCTTTAATAAGGCTCGATTACAATTAAGAATAAAAGGAGAATGGGTGATTTAATTCTCGCTCGTGGACGAGGTATTAGAGATTTACGGTTGAGTAGGGACTGTATCATGTTGCGAAAAGATGAACGAATATAACCGTAAGCATGTCGTATATAGTTAGGTAATATAATTAATTGTTCGCGATTAAGGAGGAAGAGTCTTGTGTAAATGTAAATTATTATTACTGTGTATTTACCGCTATTATTACTATTACTATTAGCGCTATCATTACCATTATTATTCGTATGGATTATCATTGTTGATTTAGTGATTGTGAAGATACCGGGCTGGCCGCTCGGCGTCGGAGCGGCCGCTGGACGATCGTGCAATTCTCGTCATGAAGATCCCTCGATTTGATCGAATATACGAGTCCGAAACACCGCAACGGCGATTTCGGTGGTTCAGTAATCGCGCGATTACAACATATTCGGTTTTCGATCTCGACTCGATATCCGGAATTTAGCATAACTCGCCTCGCAAATGTCTATATATATATAGAAATACTCGTCGGATTATATTCTTAATAGTGCTGGACAGAATTTATGACGTTTACGGCGTCGGTCTTCGTATCAATATTAAGTGTACAATGCAAACTGTCGCTATTCCTTGAATTACGTCGGATTTCCCGCAACTTAAATCGCAATCGTGTTGCAACCGGAGGAGCGGCGTATATAAATATATACGTTTATCTCTAATTTCGAACGAATTGAGTTGTGATCCTCGAGCGCCGATGGCACCGTCGCGCGTGACTGTAACATTTTATATTGTACACGTAATTAAACGAAAGACACGTCACGGAAAAAAAAGGAAAAAAAAGTTATAGACAAATCGCCGACTGAGAAATGCGTCTGTGTGGTGCACGCAGATACGCGTATATTCCCCTTGTTTCTTCCGCTCCTTTATATCTCTATATCCTTTTGCATATTATTTATTTATTTATATCTTTTCGTACGTGTCCCCTCGCGTTCCGCGTTTCATCCCGTGCCTTTGAAGGGGAAACGGAATGGGAACGAGAGAGCGGAGAGCTCTTTCTGCATATCCGGCATAATAGCGTCTAATCTCGTTATTTATTAACGGCGTCTAATCGTTTAATTTATTGTTTGATGAGCCTCGTACGTTTATTATTACCGAGCGGAAATGTGGAGTCGCAAACTATCTTCCAAAGAATTTAGGAAACCAATACGCGCGTAATGTATGTGATGTCTCTGGCTCGCCTTTACCCCCAAGCCTCCGCGATACAGAAACCGAGAAGGTTCGATCGAAGTCAACAATCGCTGCCGTGTTACTCGTTACAAAGAGGTGTATGCGCAAAATAAAGGCCTGCACTTTTTACGGAACGCTGTTTTCACGACTCTACTCCCACCCCCTTGCGATAATATGTTTATAGAACGACCTTTCGCACGGCGAGAGAATTAAAAAAAATAATTTTTAAGCTCATAACGCAAAAATGTAGCGTATATGTTAAAAATATAAGAAAAACGGTCAATATGTTTGCAACAACGTGAGATAACGGAGAGAACGATTGCTGATACGAAGACGCTGAGAGGGGAGCAAAACGGTATGGACGTCGACCCGCGGGGTCGTCCGTCTCTTTCGTCTTCTTCTGTTTATCGTTCTTGCCGCCGAGAAGAATCGACAGTGGTTCGCGAAGTGCGTTGCGAAGCGATTGGAATTGATGAGGCGAGCGGACCGAGCGGCGAGTATGACCCTTCGAGGGTCCAGGAGAGACTCGGACGTCGTCCTGTCTAACTTCGGTCATATTAAGGAACACCTCTTCAAATTCCTCGTCATCGGCGATTACGGAGTCGGTGAGTCACGGATAAGATTCTCGATTGATAAACCCCTATTCGCTGTGTGCGCTGGTATACTATAGCGGAAAAGTAGGACTTAGAGCGCCCATGGTGGCCGGAATTTGCATTATTTGCTGGAGTTTTCTAATACATCGTAATGGAAAAATTGCGGAAAGGAAATTTAAATTGTTGCGTGAACACGTGTAAGAATGTATTTCACAATACAAGTTCAGAAATAAAATTTTATTCCTTTCCAAAAGCGATTTATAAAATTGAGCAGCGAAAAATGTGGATACGTTGGGTACAAAAAATAAAGTAAGTATATTCTTTGAGATTATATGATCATATTTTACCTCGTTTAAAATAATGGTATTTATTTAGAATACGGGCCTCACCTCCAATATCAATAAAATTATGCTTAATCGACATGTGACTACGGGGCATGTACATGTCGCTACATTTCATCGATATGACAAGTTTTCTAACCTAAATAGTTGTCAACTTTAACGATTAATATCTTGCTTCGCGAGGCAGACCGCCGCGTTTTTCTTCCAGATTCTTTCGTTTCGTGTAAAAACGCGTCGGTTAAGCATAATTTTATCGATATTGGAGGTGAGGAGCGTATTCTAAATAAATACCAAAATAATTTGTACTATGTCATACAAATAATTTTTGAAACGATTTGTCTGTAGCTTACATGATTGGCAACCAACAAAATATTCACGAATTTGCAGTGCACACTTCGTGGGGAATTGTTCATCTTCAATACAATCAAGTCCGAGTTACGTTCCGAGCATTTCGTCAAAAAAAAATCATGAATTAAGTTCTACCGAGAAATCTTCAATTCAACGGTAAATAAAAATTATAATTACTTGTTTGTAGTAAAATTTAAATTATAATTTATAAAATAAAATATAATTAAGTGTGTATTATTTTGTGTAGATTCAACAGACATATGCGTCGAAGAATATGCAATACATTGTGTGTCAAGGACAATGTAAAGAAAGTTGATGCTGGACAAAATACTTTAGAGGAACCGCAAGAGCAGTCTTGTTATTTTGATAAATTAATCGAGGCCCCTGCACCATCATTCAAAATTAACCAGGAGGTTCAGGTTTCAATGTTTGAAACTACTGTGGATTGTAAAAAACTCTATGAAAGAACAGAGATGTTTATATGCACTCAATATGTGCATAATGAGATTTGCCATGCACAAACTCAAGTATATATACCTGAAGATCGTGGCTTACAAATTGTTAAAAGAAGGCATATGATAGACAAGTGTTGCGGTTCTAATATTGTTCAGATCGACAAAGCGATTGGTCCTGATACTTCTAATTTGAAAAATTCAATAGTGTGTACAACAGGTTTTCATGGCATATTGTCAATAACAAAGGACCAAGAAATGCTTGATCTTGGCGGTGTCACCTTATCCACTTTTCAATTGCTGCTCAAATTATTACCCGATATCAAACCGAAGAAGATTTCTACAAAAAATCGGCTTCTTATATTTCTCTTAAAGATGAAAACTGGAATGTCATTCTCAGCCATAGGAGTTTTATTTTGCATTCATAGAACAACTACCTCTCGTATCTTTTATACTACTTTGCAATTATTAAGAGTTGCTTGTAGTCGATTCATTTTCTGGCCTTGTCGAGAAGTAGTTCAAAATACTTTGCCCGAAGTTTTCAAAACATCGTACAAGGATTGCAGAGTAATTATCGATTGTACCGAAATAAAGGTGGAACAACCAAATACTGTAGAAAATCGGGTGTACCTGTATTCGCATTATAAAAAAGGCTTTACAGTAAAAATTTTGGTTGGATGCACTCCGAGTGGTTTAATTTCATTTATCTCGAATTGTTATGGAGGACGAACTAGTGACAGTCAAATCACTATTAATTCAGGGATATTAGACTTGCTCGAGCCTGGTGATGTTGTCCTCGCGGATAAAGGTTTTCCTGGAATTCAAACTGTTATTGATGAAAATGGAAAAGGAGCTCTAATTGTTATGCCGCCATTCTTACGCGATCCACAGTTTTCAGCTGAAGATGTAGAGAGAACGTATAAAGTCGCGAAAGTGAGAATTCACATCGAAAGAATTATGCAAAGATTGAGAATTTACAAAATTTTGGATAAATTTTCAATCGATATGCTTCCTCATGCCGATAATATTGTATTCATGTGTGGCGTCCTTGTGAACGTGCAGCCACCGATTATTAAAAACGGAGATGTAGATGAAACAGAGATCGCAAAGGTAGACTAGAATAGAATAAAGAGCTCGGTATATGATATGTTCAGTATACAAATAAATATCCAAATACTTGTATACAAATAAATATCGAATTAATAAAATATAAAATAAATAAAAACATTGTTTAATATTTTATTTCACCAAAGGTACGGTTTAACAGTAAATAAAATATTAAAGTTATGAGAAATTATTTTACTATTTAATTTTTAAATTTTTATATATTATTATATGTATATATTATTTTTATATATTCTATATGTATATATTATATAATGTTTTTTATACATTATTATTATTGTCCGAACGCACTATTGCTTCCAAAAAGTGTTGAAAATAAAATTTCTCAAGTTTCGGGATCAGAAATTTCAAAAAATCTTCGTCTCTGTGAACTGACACGACACAGCTTCCCTTAGGAGACCAGACATAAAGGTCACATACCGTCAGTCCAGTCACATACAACTGTATCTGACATTGAGTGTAGTATTGGTGACTTTTTTTTAGCTCGATATTGCCATTCCAATAATATAGATATTTTACGTTTATCTTATACGAATCAAAGTCGACAACCGGAAGTTTTTCGCACGAGACAGGACACTTGATTTCAACTAGTTTCGTTATACACTCATTTTCAATTACCACACCATCAGGTGATGCGCAAAGCCACGGCTGAGTTTTTGATACCACTACTCCTATCTGAATGACTTTTGCTCCATGGACTTTTGCTTCGTATTCTTTCAAAGCTTTACCTTCGTTTTTTGAGCCATACTGTGTATTTTTTTTAGCTTGACCGGTTATACACGAGGGAGTCAAAAACTTGTTGACCAAAGCATCGATCTTTTCTGATTGCCTCGTTTTGATCGAATGTGCTCTTGAGCTAGCAGAGATCCTAATGTTTCGCACAGAAAACCATTTATCTGAGTAAGACTGTTCCCGAGTGTCCACGCATATCTGGATTATTTGAGTCTCATCCAGATTAACTTCTCGTGCGTAAAAAGCTTTCAGCACTTCATCCGCTATTATATAATTTGATGAGTATACTAGATGATCCTCGCAAAAGTTAAGCAAATTAATAATGCATGCATCGCAATTATTAATGTCACTGAATTCAATCGCTAAGTAGATATATTGTAGCAAAATTTCTTTGACGAATCGTTCGTTTTGGGTTACGTTGTATTCTTTGAGAATTATTCGTAATGCCGAGGAGTGCTTGAGATCTCCGAGTTGTAGACTAAGAGGAACACTGGAATTTGCACAATTGGTCTCGGGTGCTTTCGGTTTAAATAAGTTTGCGATACGCATTGGTTTTGCATACATTTCATGGCCCAACTGCTTATCTGATGGTCTGCCCCATTCCTGCTCAAGACTTGTTTTTGTAACACTCCTATTAGAGTTGACATAATGTATAAGAGCATATATGTGCTTGCATTTTCTTCCGGCTTGCGATACGCACGTGCACGATGCACAAGTTATGTGACGTTTATCGGAAAGCTGCAATAATGTATTTTGAATAAATAATCAAAACAATAATTTTTTGTTCTTGTTTAAACGTTTTTTTATTTATTTACGATTGACTTGAATTTCATTAATATTGATATACTTACATGTAATTGTACCTTGTACGGAATAGCATTGACAGATGTTTGCGGTATTACACTGCACCTTATTAAATGGCTTATATTTTCATTACGCAATTCTTCAACGCGAACCACATGCGATATTGCTAAGGCTTTTCCTTTTGGTATTGAACTTGGATTAAATTTAATGTCATGAGTGACAGGTCCAAATCCCGTTCGTATAATAAGATTCATTGCAAAGTCAGAAAGAGGTTAACCTTTAAAACAAATGTAGGTTAATTTCTCTCGAAAAATCTTTTCAACTATAATTTTTGTAATATCATCATTGAAATTAAGATTTAAATTACCTAACGACAGTTTACACGTAGCTCGAATATTCAGAATCGTTGACAGCTATTCCATACAGCTATTCCATCAAAAAGTGCGATATTTCACTAACCGTGGCAGCACTAGTCTCTGCGCACACAGCGAATATTCGAATTACAACATAAATTTCTCTTACGCGATAGATAAGATAAATATTATTCATTAATATCCAATAATATTTATCTCTCCCTCGGTTTTATCGATTAGCTTAACTCTAATTTCGTAATAAATAACACCTAACGCTTTGAAAAAATTGTAAACGAGTTTTTTGTAAACAAGTTTATGAAATTTTTAATGTCCTTGCATATTATTTAATGGAATTCAATCTTTTTATCAGGAGAATTATAGATCCAATTTTAGACTGACGGAAATTATTTATTTTAGGCAAAACTGCGCTGGTCAGAAGATATACGGAAGGTAATTTGTTGTAATTTGTCTCCTGCTCTTGTGTTCATTATCGGCCAGAATCGTTCCGCAAGAAGTGTCCCCATTGAAAATCTTAAACGTCACAGTTGACAAGCGGATCGCATGTCGCGAGAGGATATTATAATTGTGGGGGCGTGCATTCTTAGAAAGGAAGGGAAAAGAAATGCCGTTCAAGCCGGCTTATCTGTTTTAACGATATACGTGCGTCAAACGCCGCAGCTGCGGTATTATACGACACTGCGGACTTCACCGGCGCAACACTCTCGAAACTGTCCTCTTTTCCAGGGAAGTTCTCCTCGAATTACAAGATTACCATAGGCGCCGATTTTGCGATAAAAACGCTCGATTGGGATCCGCAAACTAAAATAAACTTGCAGCTATGGTACTTGTATAGATGCATAATTTATATTGTTCACTATTTCATTGTCCACGAAGGCTCTCGCACTTACATTGCGGGCCTCGGAATTATTCTTAATCTCGCAAGGTATACACAACTACAAAGACTGAATAATCTTATTCTGAATATTTCAGGGACATTGCCGGTCACGAGCGATTCGGATACATGACGAGGGTTTATTATAAATACGCGTAAGTATGACTTTAACGTGCTTCTTATTATTCGATCGGACTTAGTTTGTTTCTTCTAATATTATATATGCATCTATTATTATCATGGATATTATCATAGACACACTTTGCTCCAATTTAACGGTATGTCTTGTTGAGACAAAACTAAATACAAAATTGTATTTTTTTGACTAATTGAAAAATTTTAATTGTTTTTTTGATTTGTTACAATTTAATTTTTATTCATCGATCTTTCTCGTTCATTGATTTGACTTGTACTTACGTAGGGTAGCCGCGGCTCTCGTATTCGACATCTCACGCGCGGCGACCTTCCAATCGATGAAGAAGTGGCTGAACGATCTCAGAGAGAAGGTCACGCTGCCAGACGGCTCGAGCATCCCGATCGTGCTCCTGGCGAACAAATGCGACATATCAGTCGCCGTCACCGACGAGCAGATCTCCAAATTCTGCAGGGAGAACAAGATACACGCCTGGTACGCGACTTCCGCAAAGAACAACACTAACGTCGGTAGGTGGATGATTGGCTTGCCTCCAGATCGTCTCTCTCCCGTAAATTTATATATTAAAAAGTTCTTTTTTCGCTTGTTAAATCTTTGTTATCATTTAGAAAATAATAGTCATTAATATTTTTAATTGTTATTAATATTAAAAACGATATGAGTGTCCCTCTCTTTATTATAAAAGAGAGGGACCTAAGGATTCCAAGAATCTTTGATTGTGCGACGATACTGTGCGCTTATTTTCCCTTGCATTGCTGCCGTGATAAGAACTGTTATACAATCGTCAATACGTAATATCGAGATCACTAGATTCTGTGCAGCGTACAATATTTTTTATATTTATTCTTTTTAAGAGTTGTATTATATGACCGGAGGCAAAATTCGCTGTTACCTCTCATGATGCAAATAACAGTAAGTTGAGAACTAATTCCGCGTTATCCCTAAATTTACAGATGCAGCGGTACGCTATTTGGTGGACAAGGTGCTGAGTGCGAGAATCGATAACGGTATACGGGACTCGATCCGATTACGCGAGAACTCGTTGAATCGTGAAAAATCTACTTGCTGCAAGTAGAACGATGTGCCAGCATGACTGATCATTTTTAAATCGTCGAGGGTGTACATACACGTCGATCAACGTGAACGAGATGCGTTTAGAACAGATAATCGAGAGATTATCGAAGACGATTGTCGTATAATGGGAAAACAAAGCTAAGAAAATATATCGTTAAATTAAAAGATTTACACGTCGTCATAATATAAATTTGTTTTACGCGATAACCATTATCATTACTGGCCGTTATCATTTATTAGCCGCGTATATAGTGTTCTTTTTATAAATTTACATATTAGATATTACATAATGAATTACACGTAAAAACAATAACTATGACGATTTATTATGATTATATCCCTTTAATTAAATCTGAAATAACTTTTAATTAAAAGTAATTGGCGATAAAAAATTTTGCAGTTTTCGAAATTCAATAGAAATGAAATATGTCGTTATCAATGTAAATTATATATCTCGTGTTCTCTTTATAAATGTACATATCGTATAATAAATTATTGATGGAAAATAACTACGACGATTTATCGTGGTTGTCTCTTTAATTGAAAGACTAATATTTCTAAAAGCAATGAAGATGAAAGATTGCAGGTATGTTATTTTTGTGTGTAAATTGCAAACTCATGTAAACAAGTCACATAGTTTGTACAAGTTCTACTCGCTGCAATGCTGATAACAATTTTATCAGACGTTTAAGTAGCATTTAAGCGTCTGAGAATAGCGCCGAGCGCAGAGTCAGGTCGAGTTAGGTTGATTGAAAGGAAAATATAACGCGTCACAGCAGTCCCACAGGGTCAGTCCCACGCAGCTCCTACAGATTGCTACAGATGTGCCTACATTCCTGTGCTACTTAGGCAAATAATCTGAAGCTCATAGAACTTTAGAACGTGCATGTATTTAGTTACATTTTTTCAATTCGACGTGAAGTGTGGGGTACAGGCGCAATATTAGATTACTGAGCTCGTTATTCGTAACAAAAATAAAGAGTAACGATGACTGACAATCTTCCAGATAGCGTGAATACTGGTAAGTAAGAAAATAACTAAATTAAATGTCTCTTATTCGGTTTAAATAAGTATATTAAGTAAGAAAAATTAAGAAGCACAGAGTTAATGCAGTAAATCGTTAAATACTGTATCAGAAAGAATGATAATTGTTTTCTATTGGATTAAATTGTACAGATTTCGATATTTTCTAAAAACTTGTATTTTTCGGAACAGTGCTAGGAAGCAAACGATTGTCCGAGCTCGGGAAAACGTTAACGCACGAACATCTGGCTCTCGATTTTCGTAAATTTTACGTACCACCGCCGAAGCATCTTAAACGTTTCCCTGACGGCTGTCTGTCTCTTCAGAATATCGGATACATTCGGCAGTACCCGTAAGTCAAATTGAAATATTTTTCTCCATAGTTCCGCATAAAATAAGAGTTTTCCTGCAATTGTTATTATAATCGTCATAACTGTACATCAATAAATAAACGGTTGAATTAATAAAGATTGAACTCGAGATGACAAATATGGATTTAACCGTTTTGTATCAGATATAGCAGTTCATATAATTTGGAGTTTTACGATGGCGACGCGGCGAAAGCTGTCTATAAAGACGTAGAATTATTCAAAGAAGCCGGTGGCGGAACCATCGTGGAGAACAGTAATCATGGTTTGAAACGCGATATTTCTTTAATGAAGAACGTCAGCCGGTCCTTGGGAATTAACATAATTGCGGGAACTGGTATAGTGTATAATTGTGTATAATTTAAAATAATAATAATACATTATTCCTATTCGTTATATACATTTTTGCAACTTCACAGGATATTATGTCGCTAGCGTGCAAAATGCATCGACTCTCAATATGACCAAAGAAGAAATGTACGACCTGATGCAGAAAGAATTGGAAGAGAGTTGCGTAGAGTGTCCTGATGTAAAGGCAGGATTTATCGGGGAGGTCGGCAGTACTTGGCCAATCGAAGGTACGCTGATTTGAACAATATCTGTCAAATATTTTTTGCAATTACTACTATAATTATTTGTGAACCATTTGATTCTACTCATTATCAACAATTCTTGTACTAAGATATTACATGTAATATATTATATTAAAATATTATATACATGTAATGTACTAAAATATTATAATATTCGAATTAGACTTTGAAAAACGTGCTATTCGTGCGACTGGCGAGCTCCAAGCTCAGTTACATTGTTCTGTGAGCTTTCATCCTGGAAGAGACGCATCTGCGCCTATGGAAATAATAAGGATCTATCAAGAGGCTGGTGGCGATGCGAGCAAGGCCATTATGTCTCACATAGATCGTAAGATCCACGAATTTCTTCTTTTTCTTTATCAATTTTTAACTTTTAACTTGCACACTCGAATCACTCGAATGTGTCGCTACAGATAATTAAACTTATTTGCTAGGTACGTTGATAAAAAAGGAACGACTCATGGAATTCGCCGATACTACCAAATGTTACATTCAATTCGACCTGTTCGGTACCGAGTGCTCTTACTATCAGCTGAACCCGTCGGTCGATATGCTGTCAGATGCACAACGTGTCAAACGTATTGCATGGCTGAAGGATGAGAAAAAACTGGATCGAGTTCTCATGAGTCACGATATACACACCAAACATCGGCTGGTATGCGTCTCCTTTATATTTTCTAATTGCCATTTAATTTCATAAACCATAATTTCTTCTAATTACTTTCATAAATTAACTTTTCCTTTTAAGATACATTTCGGCGGCCACGGATACTCTCATATCGCCAACAACGTCCTGCCAACCATGGTGAACAAGGGCTTCACGAAGGAAGACATCGAATTGATAACGGTTGAAAATCCTAAGAGATGGCTTACTCGGAAATAATTTACTTGCGAAACAAACTGCGCTCTGCCTTACAATTTAACACTATATTATTTTCATGAATAGCACTTTTCTATTGATTGTGAACTACTAGAATATATTAATCTTTAATTGCTTTTCTCATTAATTGTATTTAGTGATAAACAATGTTGAAATTTTGTTATATAATTTGATTTAACGAGAACGCGGATCTCTCTGTATGTCGACTTAAATAACGGCGAAATCCTCGAGATATCTCCTTCTTTTAATAATGTTTAAAGCTTGTTAATCTTTGTTGTGTATTTCCGCGACTAATCCAATAATAAACAATGCTAAAATGTTATTATATAATTCGCTTTAACGAGAACGCGGATCTGTGAATACCGACTCGAATAATGGCAAGATTCTCGAGATGTCTCTTTTTCTTAAAAATGTTTGCAATTTGTTAATGTTTCTTATGCATTTCTGCGACTAATCTGACGATGAACAATAACAAAATGTTACTATATGTATAATTCTATTCAACGAAAACTTGCGAATCTCTGCGTATTGATTTCAAAAAAGCACGCATTAATTCTTGAAAAATTTCCCTCTTTTAACAATATTTCCTGCTTGACGATTTATATATAAATTTTGGAAACAAATTCGATGCTAAACAATGCTAGAAACTTGTTAATTTAAATTTAAATTGATAAGAAAGATGACTTTGCATAATATTCCAAAGACCTCTTTCGTTAGCCAAACAGTAGTCGCACATTTACATTATAACTATTTAATTATTTAACAAAATAATTTCTTGTATATCTTGCTCCTCCGAAGAAAATAAATGCAATAATAAATAATCTCAATTTATTAATTTTATTATCTTAATCCAAAGTACCAAATATACATGACGTTTTATATATGCGTAAATTATTTAAACGAATGTAATTAAAAAATATGTTAATAATCAAATAAATAAAATGTTTTGATCCTAGATTATAATTAAACAATAGCGACAATTTGATTTTGCATGTAGAAATACTCGAAAGATCATAATAATTGTCACAAGAATTTATTCAGATGAGAGGTTAGGCAAGAATTCGATTTAACATGGTCGGAAATATCCGAAAAATTCTTCTCAATTATTAGGAGCGCACGATAGCGAGGAGGTATACGGAGGTATTCAAAGCGCGGGCGCGCAACATTATCACTAGCGCCATCTGTGATCGACAACTAGAAGTCGGTAATGCATTGACGTGATGGTAACAAGTGAGTTGATAAATATCTCCAGTAACCTCCTTGCCGAAGATGCTTTTCTGGTAACCTGATCGTATAAATGGACGATTTTGACGACACCAAACTCCATTTCTCTCGCCTGACATATCTATATATATAATACGAAAATATTCTTCTGACAACTTTCACGTCTCAACGGATGAATAATTATACAGATTTTATTTAATAATAATCTAACATTAAAATGTTTTGTTTATTTCACATTCTAATTATTTTTAATGATTATAATTGCTTAAAAGATAGGTTCGAAATTCAGATAAACGATTTCTTATAACAATCTATAAAACGTAGTTATTATTTTCGCTTAAAACATTTTATTGTAAATCAACCTTATTGAGTTTGTTCGAAGACTTGCCGTTTTAATCCCTCTTTTTTAACAATTTATAAAGTTTACTTATTTTTTTTGCACGCACCTTCGTGATAAACACCAGAACGCCTACTTACCTCATAGCGATTCAAAACTCGAAATATTTTTTACTTTTGTTAATGAATGGTGTTTATTAATCTCTCCTATGCATTTTTGCACCTGATTCGGCCATAAACATTTACGAAATATTCATAAATAAATAGAACTGACGAAAGCGGCGCGACACCAAACACCTATTTCAAAGTGATTCGAAACTCGGCATATCTTTTTCTTTTGATAATGAATAGAGTTTGTTAATCTTTCCTACGCATTTTTGCGCCTGATTCGGCCATAAACATTTACGAAATATTCATAAACAAATAGAATCGACGAAAGTGAGAATATCTACTTCAAAGCGATTCGAATCTCGGGATATCTCTTTCTGTTGATAATGAATGGTGTTTATTAATCTCTCCTATGCATTTTCGCACCTGATTCGGCCATAAACATTTACGAAAGATTTATAAATAAATAGAATTGACGAAAGCGGCGCGACACCAAACACGTATATATTTCAAAGCGATTCGAAACGGATATCTTTTTCTTTTGATAATGAATAGAGTTTGTTAATCTTTCTTATGCATTTTTGCACCTGATTCGGCCATAAACATTTACGAAATATTTATAAACAAATAGAATTGACGAAAGCGGCGCGACACCGAACGTCTACTTCAATTAAACGTAAATTACTCAACAGTCTATCTACATTCTATCTACACCATAATTCTTGCTAAAAAATTATGTAAATCAAATGTAAAGGACAATGCAAAGTTTGTATTTTATTATAAAATACAATGACACATGACAATCTTTGGTAAGTCATTTTTGTAAAGTCATTATCGCGCAGAAAATAACTTTCTGCTTATATTGCGAGTGCCTCGGAAATTAAATCTACGTACATACACATACATTTGACATTCTAATATTATTTCGCTCGTTAACAATAATAAAAATAATTATAAAGCATTTTATCTTTTTATTGTCTTAGACAAGGTAAAAAAATTATGCAAACTGGCTCGATAACTATTGCACTGTTATCAGGAGCAATTTCTTTCTTCTTCTCTTCTTCCGTTTCTCCCTTTTTCTCATAACGAGAGACGTCTCTCCTCTTTCCAATTTTTCTCGACGTTAGCCTCATAGCTCTTCCTGGAATTGCGAACCTCTCACTGGATTCATAGCGATAGAGACCGTCGACACCATCGTTTTGCTGAAGTCCTTTGAGTAGTCTAGTCGAAGAATAAGATACAGCTACATTTTGATGAAAACACTCACAGTTTTATGTAGAATGCACAAAAAGAGACAATTGTCAGAGAGATAAGCTATTTTTTAAAGCAAGCTATTTTTAAATTTAAGCATGCATATATACAGATTTACATTTTGTAAAATATAATAATATATAAAGGACTATAAAAGAAAAATAAGTATTTCAAGAACAACGAAATAATTAAACAGACAAAAAGCTACTTTACGTAATACTGATACATAATAGTATATCCAAAAAAGGAAAAAATATTAATTTTTTTTTTATTTTGAATCAAAGTCTCGTAATTTTGTTCTAAGTGTTAATATAATTTAGTTTTAGTAATTAATTTAATAATTAAAAACTAGCAGTGAAGATTAGAACTGCATTTAGACAAATTAAGTCAACAGTATAAGTTAAGCAAATTACATCGAGGAAAAACACAAGGACTTTGTTAGCAAATTGTTAATTATAACGATGATCGAAGATGAAAAAGCATCCAGGCGACGATCGCAGCAATTCGACATCGCTCGTTCGTCTCATCAGTTTCGTAAGAAGAATGGAGTTAGGAACGTGCTGAGCATAGAAGAAAATCAATGATTAGGGGGATGCGATTAATCGACGTTAGCATATACATATACACACGCGCAGACTGACCAGATACCAAACTGGTACCAAAGTGGCGATCAAAAACAGAAAGCAGCAAACTTGTGGTGCCCTTGACTTACGAAGTGAGCGAGTTGTCGCTTAGCTCGCGCGTTCAGTCAGAGTTTGGTGAGCGTTACCGCGTGTCGTTGCTCGAAGTTACCTTGGGCGTAGTCATGCTGATGGGCCTGAAGACCGCCGGCCGGCGCACTGCTGCCGTACGGCGTTAGGCTCGCCCTTATCCACGAGCAGCCGATCACGCCGGCGTACGCCTGCCTGTACTGCTTGTTCATGATCACGTAGATGATTGGGTTTACGCACGACGCAAAGTATAGCAACAGATATCCCAGAATGTGACATTCTGAAACAATTTCACGTGACGACGCATGCATGATAGTAACAATCAGTTGATATCGCTATAGAACAAAAGTCGGCAAGCTTTTTCCGTATTACAGGACCAAACAGTAAATAGTTTAGGTTTTGCAAGGCTTTTAAGATATTATGTAGATACTTACGAAATAGGAGAGAGAGAGAGAGAGAGAGAGACAACAAATTTTCATAAATTTTTGTCTTATTAGTGAAATTTAAAACTGAATACAGACAAAGGTGCGCGATGAAAAAGATTTATCAGAGAATAAAATATGCTATTTTACTCAGAAGTCAAATGATATGATGATATATTCTTACCGGGGCATCTGACTTCCGCGTCGGCCACCTTGACGATAGTGATCGGTAAGTAGCACGCGAGGAAGCTGAGAAAGATTGCCAGTACCATCTTCGTGATCCTCCATTCACTACGCTTCTGTTTGAGCTCCCTAATATCCCTCCCGGGCGTGTGAGGCGACTTTATCGTCGGTCCGGCGTGCTTTCGCATTCGCGATTCCGATCTGCAATGTTGATTGAATTTCAATCGGTTAATATAATACAATATAATCGAAGCAACGCCAACGGTAAAAAGATTGTTTAAAAACGTCAGAAACGTGTCAATTACTTGTGCACCACCCAGAATATCTTGGCGTAACAGCCGACGATCACTACGCAAGGAATCAGGAATCCCATGACGAAAAGGAATGTCTTGGAAGTGTGACCGTGACGGTCCTTGACGATGGAACAGGTCTCCAAATTGGGATCGTAGTCGAATTTACCTGATTAAATACAAATGAGTAATGAACAATAAATAATAGCAAAATGTAACAAATGTGTATAAAATATATAGGCCGGTATTCATAGTTATTTAAGACCGTCTTAAGTTCAATCTTAAGATGTCATGAACCAATCACAGGGCCGTATTGGTGTCTTAAGACATTACTTAAGACTTAAGATCCTTAAGACGATCTTGAAAACTATGAATACCGGCCATAGATATAATTTTAAAAAATATTTATACTAGCTGCTTTTTAATGCGAGACATGGTCTCTCAGATGTAATTAGACGCTAAAGAATTTTAGAATACAGCTGCATAATGCTAGACAGCGAGAAAAAGGTATCTTTTCGATTTCCATCTTTTTCGTCGACCGCCATTTTGTAACAGCATTTTAAAACTTTTTATCACCTAATGTTATTCGAGAAAGCATGTCTCGCATTAAAAGACTCTTAATCATATTGCTCATTAGATACATTATTACAATCTTAGACCATAATTAAAAAATAGCGAGAATATAATTATGCATCCGTAGAGATGCTAGAAGATGATAACAGTTAATAGAAGAATTAATTTGGATGATAAGATAGGCGAAACTCAGGTTTCGTACCGCGAAATCTCGGGAAATTGCTCCTGATATATTAGCAAAGCATGATGAGCAAGGAGGTTGACGGAGGTATTCTAAGCGCGGGT